AGTTGGCCCCTAAATATCGAATCAGCTAGCGAAGCTATCAAGGGCTTGAAATACGGCCGAGCTTAGCAATAGCTTAGAGAGAGACGTAGCCAAAAGGCAAACGCGTGCTAGCCAGAAACTCTGAGGCTCTCGATGTCAGTCAATGGAAACTCGACTTAAATACCACTCATACTGTTATGAAGAGAAAGTTTCGAGACCATGGTTAAATAGTTTACTTCTAGGTACCAGTTATATCTGAAATTCCTATATTGTTAAATGTTAATTATGAAACTACTTGCCGTTAAAGGGAGTGATCGTATAGTGAAACGTGTACAGCATTTTTTTTGCGTTGTGAAAAAAATGCATCCCGGGACCACGCCGTGAGAGGATCGAAAACATAAAACATATACAAGATATAAAGGAAAAATTCATATTAAATATATAAAGAAAACATACTGTAAGAGGTTCCAGATTAAATATCAGTTTATTCAATTACAACACAATAAGAAAAATCTTAACCTCATCTGAGAGTCTGCTCATTTAAATTCATAAAAAAAAACTTAAGGTTTGTCTGGTGATTTAAAAGAAAGGGAAGGGAAACAATTTCTGGCCTGAGAGTTAAATTTTAGATTCGACGTTGTTTTTACTGCTAAGGACGTTTTTGAAAAAACTTGCCTAAAGTTCCAACACACCAAAAAAAATAATACTTATCTTGAGTGGACATCTTGAAGTGGAGGAGTGCTCATATCTTAGCTCTATCCTTACGTCACTTGGCAAATCCGCAAGCCAGAAACTCGAACGGCACGACAATAAATTACATCCGCTATACCGTCAAATCTTACGCCTGCTACTGGTTTCCATAGAAGAAAATTATTCCCACTGGAAGCAAGAGAACAGCTTACACCGCACGGCTGTCTGCCTAGACTCTTCAGCTCCACCAAGGTAAACATAGACATTTAAGCTAGGTGTTTATTATTAAGCTAGGTATTTTAGAGAACGGCTAACGCAGGCTTTTCCAGTTGTCTAAGGTGACATAATTCCTTCTGTTTTCAAGTCGGAAAGTTCAGAAGGACATCGTCGTTGACCTTTGCCGACACAGATAGAGACCCAAAGTCTCTGCTTAATTTTAGTTGTTATTCGCTCAACAGTTTTTTTTTTTCCCCCCTCGCATTTTTGAGAAAACCCGCGGCCGGGGAGCATAATTGCCGCTCCCAGCCGGAAGCACCGCTCGATGCCGACTAAAACTTTTCCTTTCCCCTTCGCAACACACACAAGTTTTTCCTCAGTCTCCGTCAACAAGTCCGTCAAGCCCGAAAGTCAGCGAATCCAAGCGTGAGTGCCTAAGCGAGTCAAGAGTAAGTGTGTCTCGCCTCTTAACCAAACGCGGCCGGGGAGCATATTTGCCGCTCCCCGCCGGAAAAACATCCCGCTTCGTAATTACATTTTGTCCCAGCAAGCCCGAAAATCAGCGAGTCAGTCCGAGAGTCAGCCAAAAGTAAGTGTGTCCAACTCAAATTTCCTTCTTCTCCTTCACCAAACGGGCTCCCACTATGGCTTCACTTATCGCCCCCTTAATTATGGCAAAATCTTCGTTTTCAACTCCAAAATGCGGAAATAAGGGTGATCGCGCATGCGCGCCCTTCTTCACTTAGCCAACAACCGGACCCTCAATCGCCAAAACCTGAATGACTTACATTGAAAGACAAGTAGCAACCTTTGACCTTTCCGTCACGTACTTTCCTCTCTTAAGGTCAACTAACAATGAAAATTCTTTCTCGAACATTCTAAAGCGCGCGAAATCATGACTTGGCGAAAATTGCCTCCCTTTCCCTGCTTCTTTCACAATGAATAAAAGTTTGTACAAGATTTACAAATAGAGGAAAATAAATAATATTCATTTAACTAAATAATATTTCCAGAAGCATCTGTTTCTCCCCAAAATTAAAGCCTTAAATTAAATAATTCAGAATCAAAATAAAATTTAAATTTCCATAAATCATAAAATCATTCACCTAATTTTTTATAACGCTATCAGATAATTTCTCTACATAACACGACGACTTAAATACCACTCATACTCATTTGCATCAAACTCGAATCTAAAATCGCATTCTGGTAGGAAATTGTAAGCTGAAGTTAGGAAGGACAGGAAAGTAGCTTTAACTAAAGATAATTGTTCAAAACTTAGGATAAACCTTACAAGCTGACAAAGTTGCATTTTAATTTAATAACTCTAACAAATTTTATGAACGCACTCCATCAATAAATAACAACGGCAATCAGAAGTAAGAGGGTTACATATGTCACACCTGTTAAGTTTTATATGTGAAAAGCAAAGTTAGTTTGTTATTGAGAAGGAAATGTGTACTGATTTCTAAACTGATGCAGATGCTTCTCTGTACCATTTCTTTAAATCCAGCAATGGATTGCTATATTATGCGCCTTCTGATATATCACGCACAGGTGAGTTTGTATTGCTTTATCATTCTGTCACCTGTTTCAAAAGTGAAGGTTTCAATAGCCATTCTTGCGGTGTTAAGACATTTGATGCTAAGACATTGATGCTCGACGGGTAAAAAAACTCCTGTACAAAACGTTTGTCAATGTATGTTAGAAAAATATACCTTCAGTTGGGTATTTCGTTAGTCACCTCCTCACTGATTATTATTTAGATTAGAATTGACTTTGTTTTTTCCCTTGCTTTGGGAAAGGACCAGAATTTTCGAGGGAACTATTATAATTAAAATACATTGAAATGGTACATCGGCTAATTTTGGATACCGAAAAGCAAGGATCTTTGTGGAAGGGAGATTTCAATTGATTTCAGTGTTCCTCCTCCTGACGAAGTGTCATTGGATTTGATTGAATTCCTCTCATGTTCTTTTTTCTTTAAATTTCATTGATTTTTTTAATTGGGGTATTGCTTGTTTGAAGTGTTTTGGTTTTATCATTTATTAAATTCTTTATTGCATTTATTGTATTATTTAAAATTTATTACTTATGAATTTCAATTTTTAGTCTTTGTGAAAAATTGGTTCTAAATTTATTACTTTATGTCTTTACTGATATGTATATATATTACTTTATGTAACGTTTGCTGAACATTAATAGTTCGGTCCGGGGTTCAAATCCTGGCAAACGAGCCGTCTGCATGGGCGTTTTTGTGGTTTTCCCTATGTGTAATGTATATACGAGCCAGTTTTCCTAAGAACGTCCTCCATGAAGGCTTCTTTCCTTTTATGCAGATATCACTCGAGTGCTTTGCCATAATCAAATAAACCAAAGATATAAATATATATATACGTAAATCCCAATTCCCATATTCGCTTTCCAAGAAATTTAAACGGCATATTTACCTAAAACGTATCCATGAAAAATAGCTTCCTACTTCAAATTTTCAAAGAGCAAGCTCATGTATAATTTGGAAAGAAATAATGAATTCAAAAATAACTGTGCTTTCATGAAATCGTACGAATATCCAAAGAATTTAATATTTCAAAAATATTGTTATCTGAGAAGCTAAAAGTTATGCAGTTGTCATAAAATTAGAATAAAATAGTTTTATTCTTTAAAAGAAGAAAAATTATTCATATTAGGAATTCTACCTAAGTTTAAAAAAAATTGTCTTTATTTAATATTCGGTACCGCAGGCTGTAAATTATTATCGTGAAAGTACCATTTGTTTTTGTTAATTATAAACGACTATAAGTGTTAGAAGAGCTTTCATTTACGATGGAAAATTTTTAAAAGCAATATTCTTAAAACTGAGAAACGAAATTTTATCAATGCTTCTAAGAATTCTTTTTGAATTAGCTTTTATCCTAGAATATTTCACTTTGATTTATTTGCATGAGAGAACTCTTTTTTTTTTTAATTCTAACTTTAAAATATATGTTACTTAGGCTGTTTATTTTGTTCAAAGAGTTTTTCTTAAGAAGTTTTTCTGATGAAAAATCTAATGAATAATTTCTTATTCTCTTCCTCTAAAATTTTTTCATTTATTATTTTACTACGTTATGACAATCAAATCAATAGTACATGTAACTAGCATCTGAATAATCACTCTGGTTGTATTGCAAGGTATTTCTCCCACCTTCTTAGCATGACGTCGTAGTGTAGTGGTTTGCACGCTGGGCGCGTATTCAAGAGGTTCGCGGTTCGATTCCCGGCGAAGACGTTGCTCATTTTTCATGTTGCCTGCTTCCATTTAACCTAATGTCTCTACAGTGGCATCCGAACTAAAAGGGTAGTGGATGATGATTCTCCACAATCAGGATTTGGCGATTGGGTCCCCTAAAAAACCCAGTCGCCCTTTAAAAGGGGGAGTATGTAAGGTATTTCTCCCGCTTTCTTAGCATGCCTTCGTAGTGTAGTGGTCTGCACACTGGGCACCAATTCCAGAGGTCCGTGGTTTGATTCCCGGAGAGGGCATTGCTCATTTTTCCTTTCTTCCTGTTTCAAAAATAACCTAATGACTCTACAAAGCTAACACATAAAACGTTAAGCAATCTCTTTGGGCGTAATGTAAAATCTGAATGCTTTCAGATTTTTTTTCTTGAAAGGTAATATTTTCAATTTAAAAGCATCGTATTATAATTCCCAAATTCAATTCTGCTCTTTAGAAATGAGGCTTTTGATTTATAAGTGTCTAAGCAATTAAATTACTCGTAATTAAATGTAAGTTTGAAAAACCAATAACAGATCCCCGGAGGTCTGCGATTTCTAGTTTAAGAGTCGCATCTCTAAACTGTTCGACAAAACAAACGGATCAAGTATTAAGATGAAGCAATAAATGGCATTTTCTGTTATTTAAAAACACTAATACGGACATTCATTTTGGATGCTTCGGTGTTTAATATTTTATGCCGTGTAATTTAGTATATGTACTTTTTATTCACTCATTGAGATGTAAAGCGATGGATCGGTAATAACAATTTACTTATTATATTTCAAAGTGTTAGACTTACTGTTTATACCAAAATTTATAAGTCAGTGTCGTAATCAGTGTCTTCTATTTGTAGCTCCCACGAAGTTCATCACGGTGGAACTGAGGAAGTTCAGCATTCGAGACAGCATCGGGATCAGCATCATGCAGAGGACGTAAGAAAACATTTATTGTCAAAACATTAATAACTACGGTACTTCCTTATTACAGTGGCGACGATATAGTGCTTTGGAGACCGAGTATGGAAATCAAAAAATAGTGCGTTACAAATATGTTATTATTAAATTTGCCAGCTCTGTAGAATTTTGAAAAAAATTGTCTAATTACTGTGCCCGCGTTAATGAGGAAGTACCTTAAATTCTGCGATTTGTTAGCAGAAATTATCAAAGCCTTAAAATAAATTCTTTTCTCTGAAATTCAAAAATATATGCAAAAGTTACTTTATTTGCTCCAATCACTTGCCAACGCGTTTACCATTTTTCTAACATCTTTCCGTTTCTTTGTATGTTTTACAGTCATTTGGGACGGTGGCAATTCAGTATCAGCAGAAGTTTTGCATGTAATGAATGCTTTCCGCCGTTTTCTTAGCTGTTAATAGTTAGTAATAGTTTCTTAGCTATTAATAGCTGTTAATAGCTTAGTCAATTTATTAGGAGTGTTATACACTCTCAGATCTTTTGTAAATGTTCTTCCTTTGAGTTCGTAGATGAGCAATTCCTTTCAGATCGCAATACTTAATATTTTACTACTCATCTATTGCTACTCAAATTTATTTTTGAATCCCGATAAATTATTATATCTAGATTTGAATATTTATTTTTCTCTTTGAATCATTATCCATTCAGGTTGAAAAATTACAACCAAATCGCTCAATCGATATTCCTGTTTATTTACATTGTCTGTTACCTGCAATTTCCTGCTGATTTTCTTGTTTGGAACCTCTCGTAAATATTCCGATTGCTTTATTCTTTGGCAATTCTTTATACCGTGGCTAGGAAACAAAACTTTTAATGAAAAATTCCAGAGTGTCAATCTCACGATCCCAATCCCAGTAGCTAAGTCTTGTTAAACAAACAAACTTACCTTGAAATTTGATATCTAATCTTAGGTAGCATCCTAAGCTTACTAAATATTTTTAATAAGGCCCCAAAGCAATACAACCAGTGATAATGTGATCTCTTGACTAGCTATAAAACACTGTTTTGTTCAGGAATACGCTCACATCTATTTTTGAAGCAGATGATTCGTGGTTATTTCTATAGTAACCTTCATAAAAATGCTTAAATCTAACGATAAGGGGGCTCATACACCTTAAACCCCTTATGATCTCCGAATATGTGACTGTTGCAAGACTTGGGATATTTTATTTATTTTAAAAGCAATTACTTCCAACGTTTTACAGCTGACTACAAAATATACTTGTCTTGGAAAATAGTAACGAGAAAGTTTGTGTTGCCACAAATATTTTTGTAATTTAATCCGCTTAGTGACGAAATTTTTCGTCATGTTTCCACCTTGCGTGCATGATATTTTAAAAAGGGCTAATAGTCCATTCTTGAAATTTGATGGAATTCTTTATATGGGCACTATTTTCTAACTGAACCAAAAATCTGATGAATAGTATAGAATTAAAGAATTTTATGCCCGAAAACATTTCAGATTTTCTTAATAAAATACATTTTATAAACTCAACTCCAAATAAAATTTTAAGATGAAATTCTTAAAATTTTTAGTTTACGGTAGGTTCCAAATGTTATAAAAACTATTTATTAAATATGGAATTAAATTATTCAACAGAATGTTTTAAACTGTGCGCGCAAGGTGGAAACATGACGAAACATGTTGTGACAAAGCGGATTAAGTTATAAAAATATTTGTGGCAACACAAACTTTCTGATTACTCTTTCAGAAAGCATCTATATTATGTAGTCAGCTGCAAAACTTTGGACGTAATTGCTGTTAAAATAAATAAGTTATCCCAAATCTTGCAACCATCAAATATTTGAAGATCTTATGGGTTTTAAGGTGTATGAGTCCCCTTATTAAATAAACTTTGAGTGCGTTTCTATGCACGAAAACACGGAAAAATACGATATTACACCATATAATGACCCATTCGGTTTCCTTCCTTCTCTCCAGAAAAAGAAATTTGGTCGTTAGTTTTGTTAAGAAAAAGTTTTGTATTGATTCTCATCCTCCCAATTGTGTAGACGATTTCCAAATGTACTTTTTTAAGACTGTATTTTTCACTTTTTTTTTCAGAACTTTGTTATCGAGAAGGCTTCTTCTTTCATTTATAAAAGACCACCTGTCACGCTATACAAACGAATACCATCTGCTTAATTACTAACTCGTCGACCTATTAATCAATAAACCTTTTAACAAGCTATAATCACTAGTTAAGGCGATGGATAATTCTCTTTTACTGTGCCAAATCTCATACATATTGCCTGATAAATATATTTGCTATTTTTAGCAAGAGTTAAAACTATAAATAGTTTACAGTCTGGCATCAGATTTAAAGATAAATTTTTCCAATTTCTTAAAATATTTACAAAAAGGTTGTGTTAAAATAAAATATTATTAACAACTGAAACAACGATTTATTACTTCATTTACGCATAAGTTCCAATTTTATGTTATTTTGTGTTATTTTCCTTTCAAGCTGACACGATTATGAATTCTTTCACTACAAACTCATTTTTGGCAAAGGCCCAGAGAGAGAATTTTAGTGTCGTAAGATCAGAACTTCTCGTGGACAGTGAGGCAGTTTGATTCGTGATAATCCATCTTCTTGTAAATCTATGAATCAGCTGATGTCACTGTCGCATATAATTCGCAAATTGGGACCGTGTCCTATCTTACTGAAAGAAGATCAGTAACTCCCATTCGTTTCCTTCCATTTGCTTGATATGAGGATATAAGTTATTTCTCCCACCTTCTTAGCATGACTTCGTGGTGTAGTGGTTAGTACTGTCGACGCGTATTCGAGAGGTCTGTGGTTAGAGTAGCGATGAGGGCATTGCTCATTTTTCATGTCTCCTACTTCCAAATAACCTAATATCTCTACAGTGGCGCCCGAACTAAAAGGTGGTGAATGATAATTCTTCACCACCGTGATTTGACTACTGGGCCCCCAAAATCCTAGTCGCCCTTTAAAATGGGGAGTACATAAGGTATTTCACCCGCCTTCTTAGCATGCCTTCGTGGTGTACTGGTCAGCACGCTCGATGCGTATTAAAGAGGTCCGTGGTTCGAGTACTGGCGAGGGAATTGCTCATTTTTCATCTCTCCTGCTTCAAAAAATACCTAATGTCTCTACAAGGAAACAAAAATTTAATAATGCACTTCTGTATGTAATAAAGTTCGTATTAGTTTCATCCAAGCTAAAGGGGTCAATAAAATCGTCCAAATAGATCTGGAAAGGGTTGAAATGGATATTATAGTTGAATTATGGTACCCGAAATTTTTTACGATTACAGTGCATGCTTTACTTAGTACAAAGAAGTAAAAAGAATCTGATTTTATGAAGTATCTCCCACTCGCTTTCCATTTCCCTACGGAACTTTAAGAGACATAAATAAAAAAATCGAAATATTTTAAAAACACATTAACATTTGAAAAAAAAAATCGATTCCTAAAATAAAATTTAAAAGAAATGTGTATAAATATATGAATACATGTATATTGTTAATGATGTGTTTCCTTTTCCTCTACAGCCCCACCAGCGGCAGAGCGGTAAAGACGCTGAACACTGGTAGTTCGGTCCGAGGTTCGAATCCCGCGAACGGGCTGGCTGCATGGGCGTTTTCGTGGTTTTCCCCATGTGTAACGTGTATACGAGTCAGTTTCCCCTAGAAAGTTCTCCACGAAGGCATCCCTCCCTTTAGGCAGATAGCCCTCGTGTGCTTTGCGACAATTAAAATAATCCCATCCAATCCTTTTCCTCTACAGGATGACTCATAGTATTTAATAAATTTTGTTTATATATATATATATATATCCTGCGCTATATATATAGGCTTTGCAATCTTTACGTTACTACAAAATTTCATCTTCACTATTTGGTTTTATTTTCTATGTATACTAAAGTAATAAAAGCATAAGAACTAAGAATAGCAATCAATATATTTACACAAAACTTCACCATTGCTATTTTATTTATTGAAGATGCAGACTAAAGTAACAAGAGTGCAAGAACTAAACATTGTAATCTACGAAAATATTACCATCTGATTTTTTTATAGATTAAAGTGATCTGATTTTTTTGTAGATTAAAGTAATGAAAATCAAGAATTAATAATTGTAATCTAGATGTTTATACATAACTTCATCATTACCATCTGATTTTGCTTCAACTGTAGGCAAAGCAATATAAAGGCTAGATCTAGCATCTGCACTCTATAGGTCTCTGCAAATTTTCATCGTTAATATTTAATTTTATTTTCCATGCATTTTAAAGAAAGGGCAAGAAAACAGTTAGAAATTTTATAATCAACGTATTTTAAAGATGAATGAGTTGTCAATTGGTAATTTCGTTTTTCTTGCTGGAAATGAAATTTTTATGTTTTAAATGCATCTGATTCAAGTGTTAAAAATATTAGAATTTTATAACCAGTGTATGAATGTATGGATTACTTGATAAGAAATAAATTTGTCTTGAATATATAAATGTTCATACTGTTTTCTTTGGTTTCAGGAACGGCAGGGGAGTTTTCGTCACTTACGTGGTATGTAGTGGATTATTATGTGAAGCAAAAATATAAAATAAATATATAAATAAGTAAGAAATTGTTGTTAAATGTTGTCAAGTTGAATAAGTAAAGCAATATTCTTTTAATAATAAAAATTTAATAAATAAGCAATATTCTTTTCATAATAATAATTTTTAAAAAATAAGCAATACTCTTTTCACAATAATAATTGAATAAATATACAATATTTTTTAATAATAAAAGAATAAATGAGCAATATTCTTTTTAAATAATAATTGAATATATAAGCAATTTTCTTTTAATAATAATAATTGAATTAAGAAGCAATATTCTTTTCATAATAATAATAGTTGAATTAAGAAGCATTATTCTTTTTTATAATAACAGTTGAATAAATAAACAATATTCTTTGAATAATAATTGAAAAAGTAAGTAATATTCTTTTACTAATAAAAATTGAATTAAGAAGCAATAATCTTTTAATAATAATAGCTGAATAATTAAGGAATATTCTTTTAATAATAATTATTGAATAAATAAGCAATATTCTTTTAATAATAATAATAAGCAATATTTTCATTAATAATAAAATAATAAATAATCGATATTCTTTTAATAATTATAATTGAATAAATGAGTTATATTCTTTTAATAATAATAACTTAATTAAGAAGCAATATTCTTTTCATAATAACAATTGAATAAATAAGCAATATTCTTTTAATACTAGAAAAATAATTAATGTTCTTTTAATAATAATAAATGAATTAAGAAGGAATATCCTTTAATAATAATAATTGAATAAATAAGGAATAGTCATTTAATAATAATTATTGATTAAATAAGCAAAAATGTTTATAATAAAAGACTAAATAAGCAATATACTTTTAATGATAATATTTGAACAAATAAGCAATATTTATTAATAATAAAAGAATACATAAGCAATATTCTTTTAATAACAATAAAAGAATAATTAATCAATATTCTTTTAATAACGATAATTGAATAAATGGACAATATACTTTTAATAACAATACTGAATAAATAAGCAATTTTTTTAATAATAAAATAATAAATAAGCAATATTCTTTTCTTCGTGCGGTTTTAAAATCGTTCATTTTCGTCCAGTTTTGTGTTTACAAAAATACATATTTTTACATATGATTAATTTTAAATTATTTGCTATTCTTTAAAAATAGGAGAATTTGAAGATCTTCCTGCATTTTAAATACTTAAGAACCAAAAATTAGATTTTAAGTAAGTTGTTGCAATATTCTTCAGCTTGGTTTCATTAACTGATCCAACCAAAATTTTCAGTCAATTTATTTATAGCATAAAAAGTTTTTACATATATTGTGTTCATTGCGGAAGGAAATACAATTAAATTAATCATAAAAAAAAGGAAAATTTGAAATTCAACTAAAATATAACGTGTTGAGAGCTTAAAATTTCATTTTAGTGATTTTAAAAGGGGGAGTATACAAGGTATTTCTCCCGCCTTCTTAGCACGCCTTCGTAGTGTAGTGGTGAGTACGCTCGACATGTATTTCGAGAGGCCCGTGGTTCGAGTCTCGGCGAAGGCATTGCTCGGTTTTCATATCGGCTGCTTCGAAATAATCTAATGTCTTTTCAAGTACAATTTTATGAATCTAAAAAAAAAGCAATTTTTCTCAAGGTTTGGTATTTATTAACATTTTGTGTAGTTTTTCTTATTTAATTTACAAAAACGCTACAAAATAAGCTAAATTTAAATAAATATAAATGCATATTTTGAGTTTTAGAGAGAAGGGGAGATGAATGGATGTCTAGCAATGATGAAAACGATGCAGGAGGAAAAATTAAAAAAAAAAAAAAAATGAAGCTATCTGCTTTTATTTCTAGCCTTTATTTCTAGCCTCTAGTATCAAAATCTGTTCTTTTTCGCCCCTTTAAGTTTTAGCTGGTATTAACCGCACTCGAGTAGGATTTGTAGATAAGCGGATTTTGGAACCAGCAGGAAATATGATAGAAGCTTATAATCAGAATTACTGTAAAATATAATAAATACTTTTTCGGTGACGGAAAAACAGCTGATCGCCTGCTTGGAAATTGTTTTAACTGCAGTGATATTTTTAGAAATATAAACTACCGTCTGCTATTTGACAACTTTGTTTTCGTGCAAAATGGTGCTTTTAAGGAAACCATGCAAGGAGAGATTTGTTTGTGCTCATTCCGAAGAAAGATATTCGTATTTAGTAATTAAAAAGTGCTGTAAAAGCAATTATTTTTGCTATCTAAAGCAATGATAGACAATATTATCGACAAGAAGAGGAAAATAATTCAAAGTTTGGCTTCAAGGAGAAAAATTGTTTAAATTACATATCCAAGGAAAAAACGGAACGTGTCGAATGTTGCAAAGGTAAGAACTTTAAAAGACAATCTTTAAATACCTCTTTCGATACTAAGGACAGTTATTTAATTGTTAAAATACTTAGTGTCAACTGTAGACAAAGTAGTTAATAATGATTTGAATCTTAAAAGGGCAAAGTCTTTCTCTACGGGCGACAAAGCAAAAATGTTGTTACAATAGATGAGTTTTGGGTACATTTAAATGATCGCAATAAAATGATATTCATTTATTTTCATCAAAGAGAAGAAAAAATAAAGTTTGTTTTTAAAAGGGTTTTAGGATTAGTGGTTTTTGATATAATGATAAATAAAAATTAGAAAGAGTGCAGAACACTGTTATGATCAACTTCACATTCTCTTTACATAATGACTTTAAAGTGTCCACTTTTGATGAAGAAACTCTTCGAAGCTTCGAATTAAGTTTGACTTTTAAAGAAACCCGTTATGAAATACAGCTTCCTTGGAAACATAACTGTGATAATTTGGAAAATAATTAAGATAATGCTAAGAAAAGACTTGTTTGGTTGGTTCCAAGTTTTTATAAGGATCCATTCTTGTATGCTGACTATAAATCTGTGATAGAAGAATAGAAGAATACTGTAAGTTGGGAATCGTAGAATCAGTAACTGAACAAAATGATACAGGTCAGAATCCGATATATCATTTACCACATCACCCTGTAATTCGAAGGATAAGAATACAACGAAATTGAGGATTGTTTATGATACTTCTTCGCATAAAATTTTCCTAAAGGGTTTGGAGAGTTATATTACGTTATCACACAACATTCATTGTTCATGCTCCTTAAGAAATTTTGTCAGTGCGCAAAACATTAAATTTTTATCTTCTATCTTGTCATGTGGTTAACCATTTGTTAGAGTGTGTTGCCATTTCATAAAATATATTATCTTTAATTCAGTCATATTTAATCGGTTTTCTATTACACGGTAGAGCAGCAATATTCACAATTGGTGGTACGCCTACCATTGGTGGTATGCAAGAGAAACAAAATATTTTTAACTATTAAATTTAATAATCTCATGAAGAAAAAGAACAACTGATAGAAATTTTCTTGATTGAACTCTAACTAAAGATTTCAGAAATAACACACTTGTTAATATTAGTCTGAATAGAAAAAAAGAATTTAAAGGCATTTCAAATAAAGCTATTCAACTTTTATTCCCTTTTTCCGCAACGTATTTGTGCGAACAAGGATTTTCTTCCATGTTATAATTGAAAACTAAATACAGAACAAAATTAAAAGTGGATCCTAATTTGCGATTAAAACTAAGTGAAAAGGCCATAAAGAAATTCATCTCTCTTATACAGGTCCGGATCTCACACCAAATTTTAGAATTAAAGTATTGTAATTTAAATTTTGATAATTAAAATTGTAACCAATTTTTAATCTAATATTTTTATGTATGCATATTTAATATAAATAGCCAACAGGTTGTGCAACTGGTAAAACATATGGTTTATAATATTTCTATTGAGAAACTGAAAAATAATAATTGTAAAATGTAGTAGTGGGACTAAGGTTTTTCAATTTTTGTTTAGATTGTTCGCATTAGTCAAAAGGTTGAGAACCGTTGCTGTAGAGTTATTAGGAATTTTTTTTTTTTTTTGATGAGCGAAGAAGTGAAAAATAAGCAATGCCGTTACTAGTAATTAGTGTGCTACCGTTACACCACGAAGGCATGCTGGAAGGAGGGAGAAAATACCTTATAACTCAACAAACGGGGAGTAAAAGCGAAAAATGCATTTCTTAATAACCTTTTATTTTACTTTTCGCAAGCATATCAGTACTTAAATAGTACACTAAGCTATTTTTAAATAGATTAGTTAAGTAAGCTATATGTAATTTCAGTTAAAAATCTTATGTCATAGGACATATATTAAAACTGCCCATTTGCATGACACATGGATGAGTAGTGTTTTGTAACGCAACGTGAAATGAATAATAAATAACACGCTAATAAAAATTCATTTCTTTACTTCAATACCGATAAATTTATAAAATACTCAACTCGGAATTGCGATACAAATATCGATAACATACTTCACGGCGAGAAAGGCCAAAGATCTGTTTAGCGAAAGTATTCAGGATAAAAAAAAACATTAGATAAACTTGTTTATATAATATATTCAATAGAACATCTGCAACGAGCAGTCCAGAAAATTGAATTTTGAAAACAACGCCCACGAAGGAAATTCGAGGCATCTGCTTTATTTCACAATTCACGACCTTTCTAACGACTCAGCTGGGAACTCCGAAGGCTATCAAAAAATCCCCATTTCGGTGTCTTCAAAAGAGGAACAAAATCTCTAACATTTGGTCCCAGCATCGAATACTTTTTAGTATTTCACATCATCGTTGTGAGCTTAAGGAAGGAAATAATTATTCTATGTAGAATGATACGATTATTATTTAATTATGCACTGATTGATCAGTTTGGAACTTAACACTATAAAACTTATTTCATCCGGAGTTTTTTCTTTCACGTTCCAGTTTCCAAAAAGAAAAGTGAAGCAAAAAGGTTTCTGCTTTAGTCCGATAATAAAATACGTCAGTCAGTTCTATTCTAGAATTAGTTCTAGGGAAAAAAAATAAACAATTCCAAAGAAAAAAAGTATATATGTTTTTGTCATATACTTTTGGGTATTTTTTTTTTTATTTTTGGGGGGTAATCTTTTAATTAACAGATGAAAGTTTGATTAGAACAATGTTAAATGACAAATCATTTTATTTTCATGAGAGCAGTAAGAAAATTCAAATTTCTGGAAAATGCTAATTTGTCCACCGAGTTTTTTAAATTGCAGTTCTATTTTTTACCTTCTGTTTAATCTGGGGTCAGTGTAAACGTCTATTAATTTTTTTTTCTTTTTTTGAGAAGAAGGAACTACCTTTCTCTTACACTAAAGAACCAAGAAAAGGTTTCTTCTCTTGTCATTTACCTAATGGGATCTTCTGAAACAGTGTGTTCCCCTCTTCTATTTAAAGCTAATATCAGCCTCAAGCAACATTTACCAAAACATCGAGTTCCTTGAAATCGTAGTCGCAACATTTCTTGGAATCTTACTTAATAAGTTAGTTTACTTTTTAAACTCTCTTTAACTGGTACTTCAATTGCGACTCCAAGTAGAAATCAGTTACTGATGATAAAAAGTGTTCTCTATCGTCATATGTCTTGCCTCCAATTGGTTAAGCTATAAGCAGCTTTTTGGTTCCTGAAGTAAAATATTATTTGTAGAAATCAGGATTGATTCTTAACCCTTTGAAGGCCCAAACACCCGAGACGACCTTTCATTCAAATGACCACAACCGCCCAAACGGCCGAGATTGCGATGTTGTTTTCTTCCCTTAACTAAAGTATGTAGTAGCAGGTGTAGTCTTCCCAAATGCAACGTATCAGTTTAGTGCAGACAGTTTGTCCTGAAAGGCTGATGGAAGCTTCTTTGTTAGAAAGGAGAAAGGATGTCATTCAAAATCTTTACACCTCTTCGACTCTTCGAGCGTTAATGGACGGGAAGAGGAGGAAATGGAGGAGAAGGGTAATGGACGGGGACGGGCGTTTTGGTATTATAAGCACCCAGGTTAGCGAAAGCTTCGGTTTTCTATAAGTTAAAAATTGCGGGTCATAGCGGTGTCAAAGCCTTGTTCTCAGCTAGTATTCTCCAAGGCAGACTCCTCAGCGAGAATGCTCTGGCATAAAAGTGCTGACAGCTTCGTGAAAATAAATCTTTAGCTAAAAAAACAGGAGAGCATCATAAATTATCAGCACTCTCATAAAAGTGGGTTTTTTGCGTATCTTATCAGACAGCCTAGCAAACTAAAACACTATTTATATCATTATAGATCCCGTTATTACAGAAAGAACACTTTTCGTAGTTTTTTTCCATAATATTAAAAATTACTAGGCAAAGAAGTGGGGGTACTTTTGCCAGAAGAACTTTGCAAACTTTTCTGAGTTGAAGAGCACTGGTCACAGAGGGCATTTCTAATCCAACTTTTAAATTACCTTCGTGACAACGCGTTTGTCGGAAACCTTGATCGTTGCCAATGGCAATTTGTAATCTGATAAGAGCTTTAAGAGATATTCAAATAACTGAACTACTTTTAGTCGCTTCAAAAGAATAATTGACATGTCATGTAGCAAATTTTCCAAAACCAATGAGCCATACACTAACCTGATAAAAGGAAAGAATTAGGTATAAAATGAATCACGCGTTCGGGCGATCTGCCGACGTCTGAATGGTCGGGCGGTTTGAGCAACTTCGATGTGAAAGAGTTAAATATTTTTAGCCCAACGTGGCGTTAGCCCAAATGCTCTCTAAACGTGCATTTGTCTGTAAATGAAAAAAAAAAGCCATTAGGGGGCGGATTTTACGCCCAGAAGCTTTCAGATTTTACTTTTTTATTTCTTATCATTAATATTTTCTATTCTTTCCAAATCACACTTATGAATGCAATGTTCTCATGTATGTGATCTTCATCTTTGTAAAAATTAAAAAACACAACAAAAAATGCTACTTTACGCATGTCACTATTATAGATAGAAAATAAGCTCTTCCGTAAAGTGTGTAACTGTGCCAATTGAGCAAAAAATAAACCTCACAGAAGCGGAGTGCCATATATTAATATATTCCCAAAACGTTTTTCTTTTTGAGTCAGTTTCAAATATAAGAAGTAAATTTTAACTTTATTTTATAGACAGTCAGATGTAATGGAAAATTATGCCGGGTATTTCAGAAAGGAATTCAAGAAAAAGTGATTTCTCGGCTAACTATTTCAGCTGGAAGTAAATGACTGAAACTCTAAAAGCATAGAAAATTTGTTGGCATCCAGTACTGTTATGAAGCTGCTTTGCAGTGATTGTACCCATACAAATTAAATATGTAGATATACACTCATGGGACAATATACCAAATTCCAATACTCTGAACGAAAGTGATTAAGTTGACAGGCTCGAAATTAAAATTGATGTGGAAACTTTAGGAATTAATTGAATTAATTTCGCTTCAATGAACCTCTCTAAATAGACAAAATCTAAGAGATTACCACGTTTAATTTAATTAAATTTGAAACGAATTAAAACTTAATATGAAAGAAATAAGCGAATTACCGGGAGGTACAGACTTTCTCAAATTAAATTAAATTAAATTAGAGAGGCTTAAACTTGGAATTGAGTGACTTGATGCCTGAAAAGACATAAGGAGGCATAATTTCATAAATTTTGATTCTCAGAACCCTATTTTGTAAAGACAGGACTTCCTGTACAGAACATCTTGAGGTATAATAATTTCTTTAGTACATGCAAAATTAAAGTTTAATGCTATTCACTATAATTATTGCTTAATTAACGTTCTTGCACAAACTCATGCAAATTTCATATAAATAATAATTGAAAACAAATTTATTTTAAAAGTCACAAAAGTAGTGAACTTTCAGCTGTATTCGTAACTCGGTAATTTTCCACTTTTGGTGAACATTCTCTTAAAGCAATTCATTATTAACTCGTTAATAGCATTTTGCAAAGTCTCGAAACCCTTGTAAGGATTATGTTAATTTCTTTAACAGTTAAATTTTGAGTTAAAGTTCCTTTCCTGTCTTCCTGAATTTCAACTTGCAACTTCCGACCAGAACGTAGTTTTAGAATCGCGTTTGAATGCAAACTGAAGAGAAGTATTTAACCGTGAAGTTCAACTGACTTGGTTAGAGAGAACCAGTGATTCTGACTAGCGCGTCCGCCTTTTTAGGCTACTCTCTCTTAAGCTATTAATACGCTCGGCCATGCTTAGGCCCTTGATAGCTTCATCGTTATTCAGCATTAAGGGGCCAACTCGGTTAGAATTTTGATAGCTTCGGCTATATCTTTTTTAGTTAAAATTAGTTAAGTTAATTTCTTAGTTTTTGAGTTCAAGCCCGAGTGTCAGCTTTATTGTAAAACTCCAAGTCGGAGTTCTGCTAAACTTTAATTTGGAATAATAAATGGTCTTCAACCCTTCTCAAGCTGAGCTCCCGCGAACGGGCTGGCTGCATGGGTGTTTTAGTGGTTTTCCCAAATATGTAACGTGTATACGAGCCAGGCATCCCCCTTAGGCAGATAGCCATCGACGTTTTGCCGTAATTAAATAACCTAACCTAACCTCTAAAGCTTTATTTACTGTCTCACGAACTCAAGCAATTAGTCGCTTACCAGTTCTTAAGATTCTTCAACTTTAACGGTAACTTAAAAGTACACAGCACAGAATCTTACACCCTAACAATGTAGTCCAAGTGATTAAGCCTCATGAATACTGGTAGTTCAACCTCATTTACGTTCGATCTTAAGTGAATAGTCTAGCTGCACATTTTGTTTTCATATATTTCCCCATGTGCAACGTGAATACCAGCCAGTGCTGACAAACTAAGTGTATCAGCATTTTTACCGGGGAATCCGTTATGGAGACTTGCATCTTGACTTAATCTGGACAATCTCCACAGTAGTGTGTTTTCCTTTATGCTGAGGTGCCACGCCACAATAAGATTTGTCTTTTGTAATCTTTGTTCACTGCAACGAAGTTGTTTGTTGCAGCAGCCGGGCAGCATCGCCGCCAGACACGGACGCCGGATTTCTCAGGGCGACCAAATCCTGGAGATCAACGGTCACAACGTCAGGGAGAGCAACCAGAAGGATGTGGCACACATGATACAGGTAAGTGAGCCCTGAGAAAATAAGCTTTCATATTGTTTGATAGATATTAAATACCATATTGTGTCGGAAATTATAAGAAACTAAAGAAACTAAGTCCTTACAGTCTAGAATTGTTTTTACTTAAAACCCTCTGACAGGGTGGGTTTGGCTGACAAAAAACAAATTTCCATGAGAAAAAATTATTTTATTGATTGTCAAAATACCTCTGGTACTTTATACCTGGCTTTATGTACTTTTAATATATTGCCTTAACGTTTTGGACATATTTTAAGTTGCACGTATACTATATACGTTCCTACATGCATCACAAAAAAATATTCTAGGTCAGAGCCGGTCAGAGGGTTTAAAAGACAATAGAATTGCAATTATCTTGACCAAATGAAAATGCAGTCCCACCCTTAAAATGAAAATCTAGATAACGTAACTGTTCCCTTCCTTTTTTAGTATTCTTGCTGTAGAGAAAAACATATTTACTGTAATGAAAGCGACTGAAATTGTTTTGTCTTAATTTACTTCAACAAAATTTTCACTAAAATATAATTTTATTAGACTAAAACATAGCTTTTTAACAAAATTTAACAGTGTAATTATATTTTAATTGCTTAACCCTTTGTAACAGCTTTAAATAATATTAAAATCTTGTAGTTTAAATAATTTAAATAGATGAAGATTAAGGTATTTGTGAATGGCAATATTTGAAACCAGACTCGAGTGCCTCGTGCGACTCTCGCACGAAGAATGTAATTTATTTTTAAATGAAAGAATATGTTTTCTCTTCTTGTTTGTATATCGCCATTTTTGAGTGTTAAATAAAAGTTATTGCTGTGTTCCATCATTGGAGTTGCTTCATTTCGCCAAAGAAGCATCACACCTTTTAGTCCCAATGGGACCAACAATGTAAGTCTCAGTAGATGTTTCAAGTAGCCTAGAGGGAACTACACGCATCAATTTACTACGTATTTGATGTCCCACTGGGTAGTAGGCATCATTCATTACAAAATTGTACATGGTAAACCATACACTACCATACAAAATGGTAGACTACCACTACACCACTACAATATGGTAGACCATCATCCAGTTCCAAGTTGTTGAATATAGGAGATCACCTACCCATCGAAGGGCTCACTAGAAGAAGGTGTCACAGTTGTACCAAGACGAAACAAGACAACAGTCTAAAACAATTTGCATGGCATGCAATCTACCACTATGCAAAAACTATTTTACTTCTTATCACACATAAGTTATGAAAATAAAAATAGTTTCTATTGATTTTTTTCTTTTATGGGTCAACAATTTAGTACTAATGGAACACATATGTCCCACCATTACCACTCAGTAGGACATATTTCTCCCAGGCTCCTGGAATCCCCCAATATAAAATAAAATGTTTAAAATGATATTTTTCAATTCTTTGTGATAATAACCAAGAGTACATAAAAAATCAAGTCAGTTGAAAAAAAAAACAAATAAATCGGGACTGAAAGGGTTATAAGGTATTTCTCCCGCTTTCCTAGCGTGCGTTCGTGGTGTAGTGGTTCTTCACGCTGGGACGGTATTCCAGACGTCCGTGGTTCGATTCCCGAAGAAGGCGTTGCTAAATTTTCATCTTGCCTGCTTCCAAAAAATACCCAATGTCTCTACAGGGTTAAGTGCATAGCCATAAAAATGCAACAAATTAAGCAAATATGCATTACGCTTTATTTTCCTTTAATAAAATTCATATTTTACTTTTATTCAGTTAAATTTTATCAGACATGATCTGCCGTTTTAAATAATTTTTAACACTGTTAGGTAATCTACATGTCGTCCATAATCATCTAAATAAGACGGGTCCTTTGTGCAACCTTCAAACGTAAGCATTTTGGTCCAGAAACAAATAATTTAAATGATTTGAAAACATGATAGCACTCTAAATTAAAGTATGAAAAAACAATTTTGCGTCCTCTGGAATTTTATTTGGACAAAAATCGTGTAAACTGCAAAAATAATAAACAACATTGACTCTCATTTTACCACAGACCTTTGAGATTTTAAAAAATGCCATTTGTAGTAATTAGGTTTCAGGCGACAGGTCGATTTTTTAAAGTCTGGTTGCAGGATCGTCGATAAATACCACGATTCATCTATAATTTCAATCGTTTATACTCACATAACCGGAAGCCGTAGTATAATGTGCTCTTACATCAGTCAAGCCATATGTCAAATATACGACAGTAAAATACGTAAAATTTTTAATTAGGCAAAAAAGCAATTTTAGATTGGCATATTCAAATTCTACTCAAAATTAAGGTTGTATTTTTTAATATTTTAAACAACAGGTATCTCTTGAAGATTATTGCAATCTACATACATATCTTGACTACCAAATTCTTCATCCTGTGAATAGAGGTAAAAACGTCGTGTTAAAAAACTTCCTTCTTCAATAAATCGTTCTACCAAAACCAGAAACAAAGTCGTCCTTAATAAATTTGTTATAAACCCATTGTAAAACTTTAAAACCTTTTTCTTTGGATGCTTTTGCTGTTTCTTAAATCGTCAACTGTTCTATTCATTTTAATAACTTCTTATTATGTCTTATTTGCTAAGACATTTCTATATCAGTACTTACTTGTATTATTGCAGCCAAAATTTCAGAAGTCGCCAAACTGTGGCAACCGTGCACATAACAGTTCTTTAGGTAACTATATCCATTATAAGCTGAAAATTCACCGAATCACCTTTTTCTTCTGTAAAAAATCTCCAAAGAGCGTCAAGGTGATTGTGCTAATACTTAATTAGTTCTGGCCTTTGAAAATATCCTTAATACTTGTCTACTGCGCAGTTAATTTATCAATCGCAATTAAGAAGTTTTAGGCATTGCATTTAAAGCTAAATTGTGGGCCAGTATTCCGACTAACAGCGCAGTACATCACTCCTGGTGTATTTAATGATAGGATAATTATTGGGACTGGACAAGTGTTGTCTCTCTTTCAGAACCTGGATGGTGCGATTGTCTTGCTCCTGGGTAGGGTCCCGACTCTCCACAGCTCGATTCAGGAATGGGTGAAGTGGAAAGCCCAGCAGTGCCTAAGGACCAGGACTTCCACCTGGTCTTCATACACCGCCAACACGAAAGAGAAGCTGCAGGTCCAAAGACCCAGGTAAGAAATAATTCTTTTTTCTTGCACCCTGACGGAGCAATTCTCTGCCTGTGGTTCATGGTGCTAGGAAACGTTTCGATTTGTAAGGATTTCGAGCATTATTACAAGATATAACTTTCGAAGACCGTTAACCTTCCATGATGAACGTTGATGCATTATTAATAGCAAATATTGTTTTTATGAGAATGAAGTAATTCTAAAGCACTGCCTCTGTAATTTCTTGTACCCTGTAGAGAAAAACATGTTATTTAGTGAACAAGACAGAATTAATCACAAAGAGCCCAAAACATTCCCAATTGTTTCTGCAGTACTTTGGGGAGTGATTTCAGAATTGTGACAAAACAGTGTTGAGGTAATCTGGTTGTTTAGAATACAGTATGTCTCCGCGTCAGCAGGTAATACATTATAATACTACTCACAATACTTACCGCGTATAAATGAAAAGATTGCTATTATTGATTATGAACTTCTTATGTAGCTCCAGAAGGGGTCTTAATAAGCTAGGTAACAAAACTAAACCTCTGAAGGCATATGACTTTAATGAGCTGGCAAATGAAACTCCACGAATGGTCCAGGTAAAGTGAAATGAAAAAGTGAAAACTAGCGGATGCTATACAAAACACGTTATTCTTGTAACATGCACAATTAAAGTTCATTTCAGTTGATAAACCATGCACATAACAATATTACTAAACAAAAAGAAGAAGAGGAAGAAAGAAAAGAAGCAATAAAAGAGTTCAGATTTTAACGATCGCCCAACAGGTTTCGTTAAGGTTTTTTACTCTCTCGCTGAGCTCACAGTCTACCAGCCTACTTCTGCAGTCACTCTTGCTAACTTCCTCCTTTTTTTGACTTGTAGAGTCATTAGGAGTTTTTGAGGCAGGGGACGTGAAAAATGTACAGTACCCTCGCCGGGACTCGAACCCTAGATCTCTCCGATACACGTCGAGTATGCTTCCAATTACACCAAGAAGGCTTGCGGAAAAGAGACAGAAAATACCTTATGTGCTGGGCTGGGGATTAGGAAACCCAGTCGCCAAATCCCGGTGGTGATGAATTATCCTCCAAAACCTTTTTAGTTGGAACGCCATTTGTAATGTCCTAGCTAAAGGCCTAGAATATTGAAGAAGAATGTGGCGACTATTCGCTGAGTTCTAGTAGGTGAGAAGTACACAGAAGAGTTAAATTTACCCTTTATTCAAACTCAAAATATGATAACAGATGGCCCCTTCTCGGGCTTACAATTAGCCTTCCCTTGGACTTTAACTCAAGATAGGAAATAAAAACCTAGTTTAATACTAATTGAAATAAACTACCCGAAGCTGCATAGAATTAACTAACAGAATTGTTCCTTAGTTAAAATCCTCCTCGGATACTAGCAGACACGTAACAAATATGGCCGAATAGCAGTAAGGTTAAACTAGCAGCACAAACAACGTGGCCTGAAGGCGGAACACACTTTTCTACTGAAGTAATCCAGACGTCAGTTTAAATATTGGTTTCCACCTCATTTACATAAAACATAATCCTGAACACTCATTCTAGCAGGGAAACCTAGGTGGGTAACGAGAAAGTAAAGGAAAGGCTTCTTCCAAAATAAAAATTACTATTAGAGAATTAAAAGTAAACCCTGCAGTCTTTTTAGCTTTATTATTAAGCATCGTTTCTTTCGACCTTACGTTGTATTCAATTCAACAGCAAAATCACAAAACAGCATATGTTTAGAATTCTCTAAATAGTGTTAGGTAATTACATAACATTTTTCTATATTTATTTTTTTCAATATTTTTTCAGTTCATCTTATCAATGTTCAGTTTTCTTAGTAAGATAGCTTACAAAACTTCTTTTTTGTCCTTTTATGTTAACTATGTTTTTAAATATCACGTTTTTCTCATTTAAGTCAATTCAACAGCAAAATCACAGAATATTCAAAAACAGCATATCTTTAGAATTTCCGATAGACTGTCTTGCGCGCTGGAAATAAAGATGTTTAATATCGTGCAGTGTTGCCACTAATAACTTTCAAATCGTTTAGTTTGTTAATCAGAAGTTCATTAAAGCTTTATAAAATACGAAATAAATAATAAAACATTACATAATGTCATTGTGAAAATAATGAATGTTTTAACGCGATAAATAATGAATTAAATACATTTTTATTATGTAAATCAATCCGATTCAAAAGTGAGAAACGAATATTCTTAAGAACTGCATCAATTCCTTTCAAATAGCTCAGTTTGTTAGTCTACAATAGACCGATTCAGTTTGAAAACATTTTGCCGAATGGCAACAGACTCAAATAAAATTGAAACGACGTTTTTAGAAGGATTTGCCGCAAAATCCATTTCAAAAGTTATAGCACTTATGGCCTAATAAAGTAATAGCAGAATATAATTTGCAATATAATATATGATTCAGTCTGTACTTAAAAAGGAAATTCTGATATTTTTAAAATTATCATCAAAAGATGAGTCAGAAATAAAGGAGCGCATTTCTAGCATAACACGATATTATTTCAGTGGTAAAAATAAGAAACATTCGTTAATCTGTTGCCTTTATATTAATAGCATACTTGCTGCTATGGTGTAATCTTATTTTTGGAACCCTTTGCTCCCTTATGATAAACTAGCGGGCTGCAGCCAAAGCAAAGTTTGTGAGGTCTATATACCCATGAAAAGCAGAAGTATGAAAATATTTCAATATGAAAAAAATTAATTCATGCTTTCCAAGTAACAATCAATTCGAAAATAATATTTTTATTGCCGAACCCAGAAGCTAAACCTTTTGACGATTCAGGTTAATACGTATGATATCATGATTTAAATTTAATATTTTCTCAATATTAATAAAAGAATTAACTTAGCGATAATACATCACGTCTATATTACTAACTTGAAACAAAAAAGTTGCCAACAATATCTATTTATTTAAAATGCCGACATTAAAGAATACTTTTCGACATACAGTGACGTCACTTGCAATCGCGTGCTTTCTTCAACGTCAGAATATGGCCTTATATAATAATAATAGGCTTAATGTATGGAAATTTTTTAATTTCATACTAGCGGAAGTACCTTATGCCAGTTAAGTTAGATTGAGAGTAATGCATCCAACAACAACGAGAACGATACTGATGTAATCCTTCTCTAATAACGATGCAAAAAAATACGATTCATAGTCATACATTTTTCAGTTTGATGTTATATGGAACCCATATAAAAAATTTTGATGGAAAAGTTCTCTCTCACTATATCAGCAACAATGGCAAGCATTTTTTAATGATTTTTGTCTTCCTAATTAAATGGTCGTAAAATCTTAAGTTCCATCTAACATTTCACCGATATTCAATTTTAGTCGATTCAATGTGGCAAAAATGGATCATAACTGATCAGAAATCAATAACGCGAACAAACAAACAAACATACAAACAGATATTCTTCTTTAAATGTATAGATTTTGCAAAACTTACAATATTTTCATTAACGAACTCTACGATTTGAAAGCGAGCAGTAGCAATACTTTTTGAAATAAAGCATTTTTATCTCCAACGCGCGGGACTGTTGCCACTCGGAAAAATGAGTGCGAAAATGAGCGCTTTCAGAGTTTTTAATTAACATTTCCACTGATTAAAGTCGTTCGAAGATGGGAAGAGTCGAAATGGCTTTCCACGAATTTTTGGAATCGGGAATAATGTATTTAATGTTTGGAAATGATATATTTATTTCACCGAAATTTTTATTAACGAACTCTAGGATTTGAATGGGAGCAGTGGCAGCACATTTCACAATAAAGCATTTTTATCTCCAACGCGTAGACTGCTGACACTCGGAAAAATTGGGACGAAAATTAGCATTTACATAGTTTTTAATTAATATCTCGGCTAATTAAAGTCGTGCGAAGATGAGTATGGTCGAAATGGCTTCCCCGAATATTTGGAAGCCCATTGCACCTCTCTCGAAATTCAACACCCCGCCACAAACAAACAGGAGGAGCAAAGCTTTTAATAGTATAGATAAGAATTATAACAGCATGATAGTTAGATATGGGCAATAACGGGCATTACCATTGAGACATGCGACGGAGGGCGTGGGCACCATGTCTCTACCATTGAGGTTAATTGGTATAGCGCCACGCCCACCTATATCTAGAGTTTGGCCAGAGCGTGGTGTCACACATACGCCTCGCACCGAGCATCCAACCCAGCGCCGGATTCATCCGGAGGACAGTCCCACGGACCAAAGCGCCCTCCGGGAATTCACTCTCACCCAACTGCCCGGGTCCAGTATTTTGTTGAAACAACAAATAATGATTTTACAGGGGCAAACAAGGGCATTGAGATACATTGTGTGATTCATATTACAACTGCATTGGCATTATTTGCTTAAAGTGTTACTACACTTGACAATACAATTCTTAACATTTAAAACACTATTACATCTAGAACACTGTTACTGCAATACACACATACTTTTATAACTGCTAATATACATTACGTTACACTTTACAACTTTTTAAAAGCACTATCATTGATTTCTAATACGCTCTTGCTTTTACATCTATTCGTTTGCTTTACATTTATAACACTTTCACGTTTAGAACTCTATTATTGCAATACACATTTAATTTTACGTCTGCTGTCTGCTTATATACATTATGTTTAATTCGCTGCTTTTGTTAATCACTGCATTAATTATTGCATTTCAATCTAATTGATTGAGTACACACTTACATTTACTACTGCATACATACATTACATTACACATGACAACTTAAAAAAAAAAAAAAAAAAAAAAACTCTATCATTAATTTTTAGAAACACTCTTGCTTTTACATCTACTTGTTTTTTTTACAATTAGAACACTTTTACGTTTAAGACACTATTATTGCAATACACGCTTACATTTACGTCTGATACACTGCTTCGGTTAATCACTACATTAATTATTGCGTTTCAATCTGTTTGCATAATTACACACATTTACAGCTGCTTTTGTACATTACATTACATATTAAAATATCTAAAAACACTATCCTTAATTTAAAAAAAAAACGCACTTGCTTTACATTTATGATATTTTTCCGTTCAGAACACTATTATTGCAATGCACACTTACATTTACGTCTGCTTATGTACTTTAAATCTAATATACTGCTTCAGTTAATCATTACATTAATTACTGCGTTTCAATCTAATTTGCATTAGCACATACTTACATTTACTACTGCTTATATGCATTATATAACACATTACTACACTTAAAAACACTACAATTTATTTTTAAATACGCTCTTGCTTTTACATTAGGATGAATTCAGAAAGCAAGAGGGAAAGGAATTTTGAAAAGAAGAAGTATAAATACCCACCTACACAAACATAAATCACATGCTCTCTGATCCCTGATAACCTAGATTACTTATTACCATATTCATGACCAGCAGGCTGAGGAGAGCTTTCAGAGTCTGAGAGTTTCCTGTGAACTGTGGCTGGGTGAGATAATCACCTAATGGTGCGCAGTGAGCATTTCCACATCCCATACTTAGGTATAGTAGCCTGAAAGGGGCAGATGCATTGGAAGAAAATACCGGGCATTCTTCAAGTGCTATAGTTCAGCTATATTACGGAATGTTTTGAATTCACATGCATTTTGAAACTAATGAAACCTACGGCAATTCCGCCCGCTCTTTTTCGGCAGTTCTGAACCGTGGACTCTTAAATCAACGAGTATGGGAGCTCAACTATGTACATGTGTGATGATTTAATGCATAGGAGGAATCAGTTTGCGGTTGTCATGCCCGGGGAATTATATTTTGATATGATGCGGCCTGAAGTTTGCGTAGTTACTCGTAGATAGATGGATGCATGAACCACAAACTTCTAACGTAGCCATTTAAAATATAATTTTATTCTATTATATATCATATAAAATCATTTTTGTAAGCAATTTATCCACTCATATATCAATACGATAATTTTTATATACACTGATTTTAAAAGTAAGACGTACGCATCTGCGAAGCGAAACGGCGCGGGGTTGGCAGAGCAGCACTTAGGGAAAAGAATGGAATGATGTAATTAATTTGCGAGGGGTATGTATACCGAAATAGATGCAATTGTACAGACAAGCTGTGATTGGTTAATAGTAGTTTCCGTTACCCTTTTCAAGTAACGTTATATAGCATAGAAAGATCTCGAATTTGGGAGAAAGCACCAAATTTAGAATAGTCGATATTGAGCTTGCCGGTTATTTTTAAAGCAGCTAGCGTATTTTGTTATATATATTCGTATTTGTTATATCGTATTTTGTTATATTTTGTTACATATATATAGTCAGATTCTGGTCCATAAATAGATTATCTCACATTGTTAACACGTAACAGTAATTAATGTTCTGCTTCAGAGTTTCATGTCGAAATTATGGTTAAAATATTATAATCGTGTAGGGAATATTTTAATTTTCTAATAGTTATTTTTTTATTTCGAAACCCTTTCCTTTAAATTCTTGTTTTCCACCTGCAAATCCCTGTCAGAATGAGATTTCAATATCGCGATTTATGCAAATGAAATAGAACCATTATTTAATATCACTTCAGTAGAAGAGCTCAGAATTTCTTAGAAAAGAATGTTCTGCCTTCTGGCCACGTCGCTGCGTTAAGCCTATCTTACTAAGAACGACCTGTTAGTATTCTCCGGTGAGGTTTAATTACGCGCCAAATCGGTTAGTTATCTTTGTACAGCTTCGACTGTAGTTTAGCTAGTTAGAATTAATTTATTTTCCTATTGTCCACCTTAAGTTAAAGCCCAAGTAGAGGCTTTCCTGTAAGCCCTAGAAGAGGTCGACTGTTATTATTTCTTTGAATGAATAAAGAGAATTTTAACCCTTCTTTGACTTATAGTTTATTAGTTGTAAGGAGACCAGCGAACAGTCGCTAGACACTCCCATAACAGTTCCAGTAGCCCAAAACACGTAATTTCACTAAAACTTTATAATCTTATAAATCCTTACTTTCACTAACATATTTGAATACTTAAATATAGTTAAATATCAAAATATAGCTTAATACTTTGTTGCTGCATTTAGAATAGTGCTTAAAATATAATTTCAGAATAATTTGTATAGATATATTTTGCTTCAGTGTTTATTAGTTTCGTTTTTATGGCTTGCCTGCGTCATTTAGGAAAGTAATATCTCTTTCTTCATACACAAGTTTTCTATGATATTTGCTCTTAAATGGATTGTTGAATACCTGACTGTAAAAACATATATTATATTAAACATATATTATATAAACATATATAATATAGATACAGACTTTACTGCCTGGTTTGCTGAAGACAATGCACGACATTTCGTCGAAGACTGCTTATTATTGTGACATATTAGGGAAAGAGATGGCAACATAAAGGAATTCTATTGCCGCGGGAAAGAGTTTAGATTCGCAGTAGAAACTTTGAGGAATCAAAAGATTATTTTTATTTTTTGCAGTTTGCCTGTCAGCAAGGAGAGTCCAGCCCTAGGATTTGCCAACAGCATCGCTACCGTGATTTGCTCGCCCGTTGTCCCAGACATCCCGGTCATGATGAAGAGTCCCACCTCCAGCCTCAGACGCTCCAGGCTCAGCATCCCCGAGGAGGATTCTTCGAGGTACAGGCGAGACGGGCACCGGCGTACAGAAGAGTTCAAGTCCGGGTCGGGGGAGAGCCCTCGAGTCCCTAGCATCCTGGTCACCAGTTTTTAAGTTCATTTCGAGACTGCGGCATGGGTACCAACCGGTTTTTAAACATTTTGGTTTTCGCCTAAAGAAGATGACGTGTGGCATGTCTTTTATAAGAATTATGGATTTTATTCTTGAACTCGGATTCAGTTCAACGTATTTTATAAAACGGTAATTTGATCTTATCAAACTCCAGCATGAACTTTCAACTAGACTTTAAAAACTCTTTGGATTATTAATATAACGTGCTAAACAATAGAATATAATCTATTACGAAGTTTTTATACAACAAGTCATTGTTTTTCTCCTTTCATACTCCCTTTAATCCCCCGTCTGAAGTCTTAAAGACCACTTTGGAGATAAGGAGGCATAAGGAAGTTTTGCAGTTTTTAACCGCAGTTGCAACAAGTGTTGATATTTATGACGAGAAATGAAATATTTACTGATGGTGAATGCGAGACGCAGAATTAATCTGCAGCTATATGCATATAACAATGGCATTATTACGTCAGATATCACCGTATTTGCCGATGTATAAGACGCACCTCCTTTTTGTTTGAAAGATAAAACTTTATTACTGATCATTATAATGAATTTACAGTATTTTAAATATAAATTAATACAAATACAAAGTAATACTTTCTTCAAATTCCAAATCGATCGGGGAATGAGCACATTTTAATTTTCTTCTATAAAACCCACTCATCTGTAGAGCTAAATTAAGAAACATTTTCTCAGTTGTGGATGGCGCGAAATATCTCTCTGCAGCTCTGTTTCCAGGTTCTTTAGCATACGCAATCACACGTAGCTTGTATGCTGTGTTACAGTATTGCCGATGTTGTTCTTGAGCCATAACTTGCCAACAAATTTTAAAAAGTTGAACAGTAGAAATTTCACACACTTAAAAGTCGTTCATAAAAACTGGAAAATTTAAAACGAGCCCAGCTGTGATCATCGATGACAGAGCATGCGCATTCACTGAACTCCGTAACTAATATTCCCAGACTCCGCAAGGAAACAAGGAAACAAAATCGCATAACTCTGAATAGAGGAAATTTTCAGAAGTGAATGTAATATAAAACTGAGTGTCGACGTAGAAGGAGCACCCCGTTTTTCAAACCTATTTTCAAAGAAACAAATTGTATCTTATTCGTCGTCAAATACGGTACTTTATACGCATGTTTTTGAAAGTTATATCTGTCGTTAAAATACATTATGGTGCAAATTCAGTATTCATCCTGGCAGCAATAAACAATAATTTAAATAATTTTTTTGTGAAACTGATAGCAGAGTATTCAAATTTTAAGACCTCTAAAAAGGTTTCAGTTTTATTACAGTTGCCATTTTTAGTAACTACCGAATTATATAAGGTTTTAACTAAAATACATGAAGACTCTTTTGGCACCAGCTTAGAGAGGAATGCAAGAAAAAGTATGAGAATGTCCTGATACGGTTCAGGTATGAAAAAATGAAATTTTTGCGACTGTTCGTATTTTCTGAAAAGAAAACATAATATCCCCATAGCATCATTTTTCACTAAACTAATTACGATACTCGGGACCATGTTAGCAATTAAAATATTTATTACATTTCTGGACTGAGTTCAGATTGAAAATAATATATATGTCATAGAGTATATGTCTTAACTGGATAGTATAGGCCAAATTTCCTCCAATAGCATCAAAAGGATCATTACTATTCTAGAGGATATCGTTATTAATTTCTCGAGAAGATGAACATGTTAATGATATATAATTTTATTTCTGAATAATATTTTGTCTAGCTTTATATTCGTACGTTTACTATGAAAGTACTAATATTCTTGAAATATCCTTTGATAATACTGTAGAAGTTTCAAGTTATAACATTTAAAAGTATTTTTTAATGTCCACAAACTTCGGAAAACTATAGGTTGTTTTTCCTTCAAAGCAAATTATCAGAAATATTGTCATATTTTTGTCTGCATTTTTAAGCTCACAAAGGATTGATAATTAAAAGATAATAGCAATGTTGCTCAATAATGTAATCTGTAATAAATATAGCGGTGGTTTCCTAAACTAAGAAATAATATTCCGAAGATTCAGCATGAGTAAAAAGCTATGATATACAATAATTTTAAATAAATATTTCTGAGACATGAGCATCAATTTATAAGATCGTTCTTAGTTAAAAACCTTTGAGAAACACTACCGTAGCCTTGACCTTTCATCAAGCATGCCGTGATTTCATTTAAAGTTCCCAGAATTTAAACAACGAATCTATTTAAAAGAAAAAACAGTTGAAATTAGAGAAGATATTAAAGAGTTCAATTTTACCTTTAGACGTTAAAAAGTGGTATATTAGTTTCCATTTACGTTTTACAGTTGTAGATTTGATGGAATTTCTACTAAAGTTTAGTTTTACAATTTTTTGCTTCTCTTCTGGTTCTTCCAGTGCAAGCAGAAAACGAATCCTTCTCTGTCCTCTGAATTTTCCCCCAGGAAAAGAATTTGGCACACTTAGTGATTTCCGAGGTCTTATTTGACATTACGTTTTATTTCTTTAAACTTCGAAAAGAAGGAATTTTATTAGGATTCTAAGAAATGGAATTTCGTTTCGCTGAATTGTATGAAAGTCATTGCGCCTGTGGGTGAAATGTTTGATTGAATTTTTTTAATAATAATATTGGTTTCAAGAACAGAATTATCAAATCTTTTTAATTTAAAACTCCTGTTAATAAGAAATAAAGTTAGATATCTATTTTAAATCCTTTAAAATAGATAAACTATTAAAAAGTTAAGAACTGTAGTACATTTTTGTAATGATATTCGTTTCAAGAACAGAATTGCTAAATCTTTTTAATTAAAAATTTCTCTTTTTAAGGTATGTGGATTGCTATCTAGAATAAAAAGTTTGATGAAATATTAAACATTTAGTAGAACGGAAGTAAAAAGAATTTGAGATATAAATTATTTCATCTGGAAATATTTTCGCTGAGAAAGACTATTCCAATTTTGATCATTTTCCGCATAAATTTATTCTTCAGTTCGTAAATGATTCTACATTTAAAATTTGTTTCGTTATTTTAAAATATTGAAACATCACGTATCTGCATAGTGTAGATAATTCTTAAACACTAATAAGAAGAAATATTGCAGGAATAAAAGTATTTTCACCTATGCAAATGTGTTTTAAAGCAATTACATCACTAATTATCTCTTGAAGAACGATCGTGGACCTGTGGTTACAGTTTAAGAATAAAACCTCTAAATAACTGTAACTAATAAATAACTAATAACCTCTCTTGATATCTACAATAACGTGTTTAATAAACTGTTAAAATATTAGAAACTACAGAAAAAATTTGGAGGGCAAATTACTTCCGTTGGAAATATTTTCACCGTAAAAGATAACTTCACAATGAATATCATTATTCAATAGCATTCTATAGATAATTAATTATATATTTAAGTAGTCATTCTTTTAAAAACTAAACTAATCTTATCCGCACAGTGCAGGCAAAGTTTGAACAGTAAACAAGAAAAAGGAAATGTAGATCATTTAGCATACCTGCATAACTGCTTCAGAATTATTTTGAGATTAAATGACTCTTGAAGAATGGTCGTAGTTCAACAGTTCCACTTTAACAAATAAATTTAATATAATGGTTTCAACATATATCTTCCAATAGCAAATTTCAGATAAAATAAAAGATTATTTTTTGAAGAGCTGTAATTTTAATAAAACAATATTTTTATACTAATGAAAGACGTCCCATTCCAATGACAGCCAGTAATTTACGATATATACTTAATTGGAAAGTAATTTATGTCTAATAAACCTTACAAATAACATTTCACCAGACTGTGGCTTTGACCTTTTATCAGTCAGCATCAATTAAAAAGCATTTTTTAAAAACCGCTTACAGGAAAAAAAAACCTTTCGTTCAAAAACACGTTTAAGATATTCGTCAATGGTAACACAGAGTTTTTAATCAGAATTTAATTTCAAGAATAGATCTCACATGTATGCTAAAAAACAAAGGCCATGTATTTCAGTGCTTAAGTCTTCATCCCAAGCGGCAATTTTAATGTTTTCTAGCATACTCTGCAAGATGTTTCGAATGATAAAAGTACTCTGGCAAATCGATTGGTAGTAGTGGCTTTATTCGTATAACAACTAATGCAGGTTTTTTGTTAGTTTAGCTCAAGATAAACATATAAGCTAAAACAATGGTAGACAAACATCCGTTGCCATGTTACCGAGAAATATTTCTGAGTATATTATATTATTGCCTCTAATAATCTCAATGAATACAGTACTGTTAATTCTCTAGTGTGTTATCTCAGTTTCACGACTTAGGTGTGTAAGTGCTATAATTTGCAGCGCATGCACTGCTGTTGGACTTAGAAATATATAACGCTGTTATACGACATCAGTTATACAGGGTGAATGTGAAAAAGAGTGCAAAACTTTAGCGGGTGGTAGAAGGCAACTATACGAGCAATATTCGTCACAGAATGTATGGTCGGAACTCAAATGACGAGCCGCTAGGTGGCATTGTAAATAAATGGTCTAAAAGGGTCTGTCCTCTCACCCAGCGGAATTTTCTACCTTGGATTACCGATAGGATTGCTGGTTAAACGAGCCACAAAATTTACAGGGCGATGGATTGGTCGAAGTGGTCCCATAGCTTGGCCACCAAGATCACCGGATCTCTCGTGTTTGGACTTTTCTTGTGCGGCCATATGAAAAGCCTAATCTACGAGTGCCCCATTGAAACCAATGTGGATTCTAGTCACCAGAATCGCTGTTGTTGCTGGTGTCTTCGCATAGGTGCGTCAATCCCTATCCCGCAGGAGTGAAGCCTGCATTACTGCTGGTGGAAGATCTTTTGAGCAATTCCTATGAGCACGTTATGTTAATAAACTGTTTCCTGAAGTATCTCCTCTCATTCTTGTGGGAATTGTGTAAATATGACAGTGGAAATCTACTTTGTAACTTCTCACTGTTTGCTTTCCGACCGTACATTCTATAACGAATATTGCTCGTGTAGCTGCCTTCTATCGCCACTAAAGTTGTGGCTATTGTTCAGATTCACCCTGTATAGAACAAAAAATCCAGTAATAGAGACTTTTTACGCTTCGGTAAGAAAAGAACGAAGCGTGTTTTCTAAATATCGTACTGTGTCTCCTTTCGTGATGTATTTCCATTTGTTTAGCCCAGTTTTTAGCTTCGAACAAATATGGAATTTTAACTGTTAAGATTCTAAGTATACCGATATCTTATAACTATTTGCTTTTCCTTTTTTCTAGATAAAGTAAAATTAAATTTATCTTAAATTATTTACGTGTATTTAATTTTTCATTGATTGAAAGTTAAAAACTTAATATATTTAAAGGTTACATTGCCATTATATATCACTGAAAATAATAATATCTCAGGTTTAGCTGAATAGAAATAGTTGGTGTTTTGGTTTGCAAGAGAGAAATATCATTTCTTTGTTCAAAAATTAAAATATGATTATTTGTTTTTCAGAACTATTTATTGTCAGTTTATATTATTTATCAGTTTCAGAACTTGCAAAAATAAATGTAATTTCATTGTTTCCTCTTAACTGAAAAGGAACTGGATAGTTTGATTTTGCAAATCAAAATTTCTTCCCTCTGAATGAACAAAATAAAATTTCTTTATTTAGCAATGATTCATTTTATAAAAGATATATGATTATTTATTTAGGTTTAGAAATTGTTTTGAATTAGAAAGTCAATAAGCAATAATTTCTAGGTTGAAAGAACATCAAGAAGCATTAATTTCTAGGTTTTGTTTTATTGAAAATCCTGTATATCAGAACAAAATTCTAATTTCATTTAATTCCTTTCCTAAAAAAATTAGGCAATGAAAATTTTGATTTGCCAAAACACCTGATCTAGTTATTTCAAGGGTGATCTGAATTTTGTTTTATGAATATTTTTATCTTGTTTTATAAATGTTCTTATCTTGATTTAGCTATCCATTTAATTTTTGTAGTACTTCTTTTGTCATCATGAAAGACAATAACTGAAGAAAAAATTTGTTACATACTTTGCAGTGAACGCACATTTCATCCACAAAAAAACAGTGCAATTATATTTTTCCTGAAAAACGATATACTGATGTGTTCCATTCTTCCTGACTAGAATTTCAGAACATTTGGTCCTGCACTTACTAACATTAAATATAGAACACAGGCAATGATGTTAGATATTTAGCTTTCTGCTATGATTGACGTTAAGTACCTCGTCTAAATACCTGGAGTTTAATTGGCATTATCATTATACTTCTAAACCCGATTCTGATATTTAATCAACAAGAAGTGCCAGTTGGTCCAGTGTGATCTGATTCGGGTATCAGATCATTTAATAGTTTTGCAACCAAACTAATATCTGATGATATTTACCATTACAGATCCTTCTTGGCAAAATATTATTTACTTGATAGAAACATTTTCCTGAGAAAAAAAGACAGTTTAGGAAACTATTTCAGTAGAATCCCTTAAAATATAATATATGGATAAAACAAAGTGAACATTAAGTTTAAAATACTCATATGAGTAATATATACTTTCAATTAAGAAATAGTTTTTTGAATTTTATGAACTCATCGAAATATTATACTTAATGCACTAGGGAATCTATTTTCATACGAATAGAACAAACGGTCAATCAAGTGCCTGAGAGTCTGTAGTGTATGATTTCTGTCTGAAGGTAGAAATTAGAGGTACTTCCGTATTTATTGGTATCTGTTATTCCCACATACAATAATTTGCTAGTGATATCGGTCGTATATTCTCGCTATGTATAATTTTCCAACAAATATTTTATTAATTATTACAAAGGCTGCATACTTGTAATTTCCATTTGTTCATCTCTAAGAAATTGCATTTAATTTAATTCTATTCTTAAGTAATTACTTCTCTTTCTCAGTTTTATATTTATGTACATTTAGGAATGAAATTAGCTCAGCAAGGAGGAAGCACTAGATATAAGTAAAATGTTTCAGACATAAAGATATATATGTGAAAAATTCACACGACTTCGAAAACACAGCAGAAAGGCGATTAATGAATAACTTATAGATGTTAGTCCGCATCGCTTCATAAGGGCCTTAAACCATTGCAAGTTGAGGTACAAGTGACAACATGGTCCATTACTGAGTTAAACGGCAGACTGACATTGTCCTGTGGCAGATGAATCCACGCCGTTTTTACGGAGGGCTGTTTATATTCAATACCGTGACGCAGCAAAATTCTGCTCTCAGACTTTTCGCGTTTTCTCAGTTTATAGACGTTCTGGGCAGTAGACAGGTTCAGCGCAAAGGATGACCATGAAAGTGTCTGCTCATGACATAAACGATCCTAGACAACAGTAGCGAGTGTGAACGCGAGCATTATTCTGCTCGAATAGCACTTTAAGACTACAAATAGCACATATGGCCGTACAATTTGATCCGCTGACTATAGGGCTTTCTGCTCCGGGCTGTTTATTGTACTGGCTGAGATCTGTTCTCTGACTGTCTCGGCTCTGGGAATATAAAATACGCGAATCTGGCGTTTTTGTAACCTCTAGAAGTGCGGTAAGCCTTACAACCCGATTCATTCGGAGCCTACAGAATGTCAGTGTCGAAAGCCCCGTATGGAAGCAAGCAAATCTTACGATCTGTCTTTCTCCAGCTTCACAAGCTCCACACCCATCTTGGGGGTGTGTACAAGAATTGATGTATCCACTGCCCAGAAGTTGGTAGCACAGGATGTGCGCTGTGTACATGAATATTTACGACCTCTTGGATTTTCAAGCCCATTCCCGCCACATAAGGAGCGCTTCTATAGGTGACTCGTGTAGTGGGCCTACAAAAATTTTGCAACACGAATTCCATTGGGCTAGAATCCCCGATGTCGTTTATTGTGTTGGCTGAGACATGTAACCTGACAGTCTCGATTTGGAGAATATAAAATAGACGAGCCTAGCTCCTACTATCAAAAAGGGAAAACCTCTAGAATCCATAATCCTATGGAGGTGGGGGGGCGTAAGGACCGGTTCTTCATCTCTTCTTTGCTCCACGCCCTGAGTGCTATGTTGAGCTCTAGGAACCGCGGCTACTGTTGAAAACGAAGTGCATCAAATGGGCGAGCCATGTAGTTATGTCCTTTGCCTACACGCAGAACATGCATACATTTTTTAATTTAATACCATTGTGCTATCAATGTGCTACAAAACACTACCGAGCAAGTAAAGATATATGCCCTCAGGCCATAATGGTAGGTCTACGTGACTTCAACAAACGTATGCAACGGTCACCCAATCCCCATAACAAAACGTGACTTGTCGTTAGACTTCATGGATTGCCATTCCTTTACTCTCCACTTGGATCTGTCAGGACACCTTTGGAAACGACGCTGCTGATGTTTTAGTGCTAAAAGGCGGTGAGGTCGTAATTCGTTTATCGGAGACATTTAACAACGGCTTTCACTCTAACATTAACCACTATAGCTGCCCTTGAATCGGGCAGCCATTGGTTCTATACGGGACTAAGTCACGATTTTTTTATTTCCTTTACTGCCAGACTGCTTGGTGTTTTGGTTTCCTCACGTACCCATTGTTGCCGATGCTATATAATAGTATTGCCTAAACGATCCATGCGGAGGACTATAAGATCTCCAACCATCCTTCGATGTTTATTCCGATGATGAGAACTTTCTAAACGTTTGTCAAATGGGCAAACATCATTTGCAGTGCTTAAATGGCCTATTTCTTCATTAAATACATTGCATTAGCCGGTGCTTTTTGTACTCAAATGCAATCGATGAGATACTGTTGTCAACCTCTCGCTTCGGGATTATAGTACCGATTGTAGGGTGCGTGACAATGCACGATCATATGCTTACCAATTCGTTGCCTAGGCAACACTAGTTTATAATTTCACGGTCATGGCACGCTCTCTTCAATGTGTGCTAATTTTATCGATTGCTCCGGGTATTTTCTTGCAAACGTTAAACTTTCTTCAAGCTTCTTCACCAACAATATTTTTCAAAGATGAATAATTTTAAATTCTGTAGTTGATTTAAATGCTCTGTCAGTTTTTTCAAGTAAGAAACGAAATACGAATAGAAACCCAGAGCTTCTTTTTATAAAACAGCCTTTTTGAGGACGTTACGAATGCCTTAAATAGCATATCTGAAACGCTAGATTTCTGAATATATTTCTGATCACACAAGTCTCTGACGGTATGGAGTAGCATTAAAGAAATACTTATCGACTCGTTGCAAAATCATGTATTAAGTTGCAACACTGCTTTAAAACTCGAAACTGCCCTGGGCAATCCTGGTCATCCGGTTCACTTTACTCTAATAACTCAGCTATACAGTCATCAAGTAAAATGGCCGTGTGTCTGCGGGGTTTGTTGCATTACTCAAATTTCTTGGTCCTATGACTTCATAAGCCTGATCTTCGTTAGTCGAAAATTGTGAAGGCAAATTTTTTGTCGACATTTCATTTTATCTTTTGAACTGAATTTACTTCGAGACATCTTCCTTCTATTCTTCTACCTGTACTGAAATCAAACTCGATCAACAGAAACTACAAAGATTATAATGCACACCAGATGTCCTATTAGGAAGAAAGACGAAATAACATTATAAATACAACTTTCGTATTCCCAGTCTATGATCTTTGAAGACGCTACATAAACTTAGCTCATTGCAGAACGTGGTAGCTAGGACACTTTTAAAAAATGCTTGGTCTAGGTTGTAAAACACCCTCTTGCACATGTTTGTAGGTGTAAAAGGAAATCGTTTCTTTCAAAAGTTTCATATTATGTCCTTGAAAAGGGTGTTTTGTTAAAGTTTTTGTAATATCTTCCTTTAAAAATGCAAGGCATTTATTTCGTTGCAAAAGTAACTATAAAAATTCAGGAAATCGATTCCGTATATCTACGTTTATTTACACATTAAGCATTTTAATTGAGTGAAGCTTTTAATACTATGCACATTATACTTCTGAAACTAATCTCATTGACCATAACTAATCGTTAATCTTTCTCCTCATAATTCTGTATTTATTTTCGCTCATAATTTCTGAATTATGTTTTATGACGTAACAAACGGATGAGTTGAAGAATCAAAACTGAGTCTTTTCCAATACAATTACGTAGAAAAAACTCAGAAATCAACAGTCGTAAGTGCAGTTATGCATCACTCCTGAAAAACCTCAGAAATCAGCACTAAGAAGTACAGTTATAAATCACTCCTGAAAATACAGTTATGCATCTCTCCTGGAAAAAACTCAGAAATCAACACTGAGAAGTATAGTTATACATCACTTTTAAGAAAACTCACAAATCAACACTGATAACTACAGTTACACATCACACCTAAAAACACAATTATACATCACACCTGAAAAACTCAGAAATCAACAATGATAAGTACAGTTGTGCATCACATCTGAAAATAAAACTATACACCCCTTCTGAAAATATAATCATACATCCATATAATTATACATCAGTCCTGAAAATACAATTATACAGCACTCCTGAAAATAAAATTATACACCACTCCTGAAAATAAAATTATACATTACTTCTATAAAAACTGAGAAATTGAATAAGTGTAATTATAAGTTAGAAAACGAAGAGAATTTATTTATAAAACATAACTATTTACGATTGCTTTGCAGATTTTCAGTTACTAATATTTGTACGGTTTATATAGTTCCAAGTATCAGATGGATATTTACTGACATGTTGCAGCTAACAAGTTATGGGAAACACATATACCAATCAATACGTAAGTACCAAATTAGGTAATACGCTCTATTCGACGTCGAAATAAGATTTCAAACATTTTTTCTTTAAATTTTAAACAGTACCCGATTTTGTGGTATTCTTAAAATAACAAAGCTTACGAAGGAGCTTATATTTTATACGGAAATATCTATGCCTACCTTTCGCACTATCATTCAACAGCATAAAACATCGATGATTTTGAATATAAGCTTTTGGGATGAGGGAGATTTTAGTTGCTACCCGTAACATACATCATTAGCAATCAGAAAAGTGTCTTGTAAAGAGAGCAATAAAAGAAATGTCGAACTATAAAATGAAAGAATAATATACTAAGATATTTTAATTTCGTGATCATCAAACCACGTTTGTGGAATAAATAGTTTACTCACTGTGAATAAAGTATTGAAAAATGTCGATAAATTGATACACCACGAGGTTAAGGATTTATTCAAATCATGTGAGAACTGAATTATCGAGGTAGAAAGAAAAAAAGCTTGAAGCTAAAAGGAAAATGATTTTATATTTTGATTTTATATTTGAGCACGGATATATGATCATTTAATATTTTATTATAGTGGAAAGAATTTAACAGTTTTTTTTTCTTTGCACTAAATAGCATATTAAATCAGCTCTTAACTGTAATCCATCTTAGTTTCAATAATAGTTTTTGCTGAAAGGTTTAAAACCATTTTCAGTAAAACTTCACTTTTTCTCTTTTCCCGTCTCTCTACGAAGACTTTCTGATAGAAACTTGCTCGTATTCACTGAGTAAAGCCACAGAATGCCATGGAAGCAGCCGTTTCGTTCTGAATCGCATCGGAGGTGAAATAGCAATGTTCAGCAGATTTATTTACTCAGACATTTATGGATAGACATTTCCTTCGAATGCTTCAAATTTGAATGTCGAGTTAGATTAAAAATGGATCAGACATACAGAATCCCCCTGGATTTACTATGAATTAACCCTTTTTCCTACGATGCGGTAAAGGATCATTTTTTGGTTTGTTCCACAGCTACAAATTGTAAAAGTTGTTACTATAAATTAAACTTTTTGCCTACGCTGTGGTAAAGGATCATTTTGTGGTTTTTTCCACAGCTACAAATTGTAAACTTTCTTACTGTAAATTAACTGTTTTTCCTACTCTCTGTGGTAAAGGATAATTTTTTGGTTTGTTCTACAGCTACAAATCGTAGAAATTCTTTCTATAAAATAACTGGTTTTCCTACGTTGTGGTAAAAGATAATTTTATGATTTCGTTCTACAGCTACAAATTGTAGAAGTTCTTACTAACATAAATTAACCGTTTTTCCTACTCTGTGGTAAACGATGATTTTGTGGTTTGTTCCGCAGATACAAATTGTAGAAGTTCTTTCTATAAATTAACTGTTTTTCCTACACTTTGGTAAAGAATACTTTTTTGTTTTCTACAAACTGTAGAAGTTCTTGCTATAAATTAACCGTTTTCCCTAAACTTTGGTCAAGGATAATTTTTTAGTTTGTTCCACAGCTACAAACTGTAGAAGTTCTTACTATAAATTAACCGTTTTTCCTAAGCTGTGGTAAAGGATCATTTTATGGTTTGTTCCACAGCTACAAACTGTAGAAGTTCTTACTAACATAAATAAACCGTTTTCCCTACTCTGTGGTAAAGGGTGATTTTTGGTTTGATCCACAGCTACAAATTGTAAAGGTTCTTACTATAAATTAAACCTTTTTTTCCTAGGCTGTGGTAAAGAATCATTTTATGGTTTTTTACACAGTTACAAATTGTAAAGGTTCTTATACTTTCTGCATAAATGTGCATAAAATGCCCTTTGTATTTTACGGTGATGTGCACATAAAACTACCAAACACATTAATATAACAATACTTAACATAAGGAAAATATAGCAACATTTAACAAAGAATTTTGTGAACACTCTTGTCAAAAATTATTTTCGATAGGAAAGAAATACAGAGGCTGTTTGCACATTTTTAGACGATTTTTCTTTGCTATAAAAAACATTCTCCTGCTTTGAAATTTTTTTAACTGCAACTATATTTTCGAAAGTATAAATTATCGTCTACCATTTGGCAGTTTGTTTTCATGCGAATTGGCTCTTTTAAAGAAGCAATGGAGGAAAGACTATGTTTACGAAGAAATTAATTAATATCTGTTTGTTAAAGAGCTATGGTTTTTCTATTTCTAAAGCTACGATAGGTAATGTTCTCAACAAGAAAGGGAGGAAAATATCAAAGTTTGGCTTCAAGTGGAAATATTTTTTGAAATACATACCCAAGAAAAAGCTGAATATTTTGAATGTAGTAAAGGTAAGATCTATAATGTTAAAAGAAAGTTCGCCCAGTCAGAGGACAGTGGCAAAATCATTGAAATGCTTGGTGTCCCCTATAAAAATTGATTAATGCTGATTTCAGTGTTGTCGTTTTTTTCATAAACAGGCAAATTAAAAATAAAGAACGTGGAAACAAACATTAACATATTATCAGGAACAGATTTTATGCCCAGTTTTCAAATATGAAATACCTTATTTTCACCAACAGTGTCATCAATAAGTAGAACTGCATCAAGAAAAGGAAATAGGTACACGTCCAAATCCCACTGTGAATTTCCCGAAGAAAATGGAACAAGAAATTGTTATCACTCTTATCCCTACTAAATCTTCTGATTTATTTCCCATGGATTTTTGCTTTTTGGACTTTTAAAAAGCAGATTGTCCAGACTTTGACCTACAACCCTACATAGACTTTGGAAGTTAGTCAGGAGGAATGGGACAAAATAACCTCTTACGGATACTATAAAAGGCTTTATTGCCTTGGACATTACGGTGGAGAAAGATAGTAAATAATAAGGGTTATCAAATAAAACATTTGAAAGAAAAAAATTGTACGTAAAATATTCCTGTAAATACAATTAAAATCGTCTAAAAATGTGCTAACAACCTCTGTATTGATGCATAATTAAACTGTCTAAGAAACCCTGAAATCAAATAAGAGATTCTGTTACAATTTCTTCCCATTAGTGAACGCTGTATGAAAATTGAAATAGCTTAACTAACCACTTCCACCTGTTGTTATTTAATATCTTTGGTAGCGTTAGTTGAAAATACTCCCTCTTAAAACTTTGTAGAGCCCACTTCCTTTGCATTAATAAAATATGATTATTTTCTTTAAGTCCCGTATTAAATAGCAACCACCGATCGGTTCTTAAAATGACTAGAAGAATACAAAAAAACCTTCCTTTGATGTCGTTTTAGTCTTAACTTTATTTGCCCTGCGTCAGATCAAATTTGAAAATATTCTGTCAGTAACAAAAGCCATTGCCTTAGTTGTGAGTAATACTTTATTACAACTTCTTTTAATTCTACGTACTAGATTTTGATCTAAATGTACATTTGAATCATACTAGGGCAGCTACTCTTTGTAAAGCTTTCAATCAAATGCGTTTCAAAGCCTTACCAGACATATCGCGACATTTTCAGATTTTTAATTTTTTGCTTTCTTTTAAAACTTCATGTGTTGAATGTTCCATCTTTAATGTTATTTCCTTCTGAAACAAAATAATAAAATGTGAAAGCCGATTCATTGTAAGGAAAAATAGAGACATTTAGACATAAATAACAAAAAGTGCACTTTCGAACTGATCTAAGAGCCAAATGGCCGCGTCTTAACATACTCTATGTGAACTTAAATCTAAACTTACTTAAACTCTCGCCTTAACATACTTTACTCACCAAGCGCAGACTTCACATTCACAAGTAAGAGTGAATATAATAATAATTAGCAATGAAAATAGCAATAATAATAATGGTGATAATAATAGCAATAGTGACAATAATGTAAATAAAAGTCATTATATTGGCAAGATCAAGGATATTGTGAACTCTGTGTCGCCAACCGTAAACGGTGTACTGGTGTGGTGTATTGAGAATACGGCAAAGCACACTAGGGCTATCTGCCTAAGGGGAGGGATGCCTTCGTGGAGGACTTTCTAAGGGAAACTGGCTCGTATACACGTTACACATGGGGAAAACCACGAAAACGCCCATGCAGCCAGCCCGTTCGCGAGATTCGAACCTCTGACCGAACTACCAGCGATTTTACCGCTCGGCCGCTGGTGGGCCTACCAACCGTAAACGATTGCATTACTGAAGGTGTCAAGATCAAACAAACCTAATCAATACTCTGAAGGTATAGGTGTCTTTATACTTTCTTCTAAAAATAAAATACCTTTTCTTTCTCACCGTGTAATAAACAACGTGAATCGCGCTATTTTTTACCAGAGAAAATTGGGCTAAAATCAGGGATTTAATAAAATAATCTTTATATTATAATTTAATCCAATCCGTCGAAAATGAAGTACTTATAATCGTAAAATTTCAACACAGCAGTCTAAAGTCTCAAGCAATTGTTTACCTTTGAAATTTTCATTAGTAATAAAAAGTACTGAAATGAAAGTAAAAAATAAAAACAAATCGTAAGGAGGTTTTTTAAAATGTTCGATGTGGTTTTCGTAACTAGACTCCAATTATCTCTGAAACTACCTTCAGAAAAATTACAATAAGTTTACTACTTAAAGGCTTATTACTTATCAATCTCTCAATTACAATCAATGTATCTCTCTCAAGTTCTTTGTCTAAAATATCAAAAACAAAACATATAGAAAACATTTTCGTTGACACTACTACTTCCTAAGCTAACACCAAATGGATAATTTTTTATTTATTTAATTAAAAAACTTAATTATTCAAAACGCTGCTGATACTGTTTTTTACGAGATCCTTGCGCCCGACGCTTGCAAAAAATATTTACGTAAAGTATCAACAATTTGTATATTACCATGACACAAATTTCGCGTAATGACTGAAAGTTTTTGAAACCATCTGTTTACTAACCAAATCCGTATTTGCTGTTGAAAATAAAGCATTAACTTCAATCCCTTCTTATCCCAAAAGCTACATATTTGTGACCAAAAATTCATATTTGCAAAATGTATTATTTTCTGCTCTTTCTCAACCGAGGTATAAGAAGAACAAACTTGTCTTAATTAGCTTTCTGTTAGATTTCAGTATGTGCTTGAATTCAAATCCGTAGAGGTGGTTCTGTTCCCTTTACCAGAGTGCTTTGTGAAATTTGTGTTTTGTCTTTTTAGCCTAGTTTTTTGAATGCAGTATGATACAATGTGAAATAAAGAGTCTTGAAAATAATTGTCTTATATTTATTTTAGCTTACCTCCACGTCACTATATTCCAGTGGTTTTCAAATTTGGCCAAATCAAAAAACTATATGTCTATATCTATATACATAAGAATAAATAGATATTTAAAATTTAAATTTAAATTAGCTTTATACGAATAGAGAATATCTGTTATATATATATATATATATATATATATATATATATAACTTTAAATCAAAAATAAGCAAATAAAAAAAATCTGAAAGCTTTCAGATTATATATTACGTCCAACGGGGCGATTTTTTAACGTTTTGTGTGTAACCTTTATGTATTAAATAGCATGTTCTTCTCGTTTAAACTATAAAATTCAATTCAAAAGCAGTATCGCAAAATAATTTTAAAAGAGCATATCTTCAGAATTTCCTATACACACTCTCACGCGCTGGAGATAAAAATGGTTCTTTTTTCATACAGTGTTGCCCATTCCTCCCTTTGAAATCGTTGAGTTTTTTAGTCAAAAATTCGTTAAAGTGTAACAAAATATGAAAATGAAAAAAGTTCCAAATTTGGTCTTCCAGATACCTATACTTCAGTGGAGGACTACGCTATTCAAAATTTGGTGTCTCATGGTACCGTTGTTTTTTCACAGTGTGAGAAATATACATGCATTCTTGCAGGTTCTTCATTATTTAATTTCTTTAAATATAATACAGGGCGGTAGTATTTGGTGGCAACAACTTGAAAAGTGAAACGCCATTTATAGTGAACCAACGAAAAATGCCAAACCAAATTTATAGCCCTTCTGGGCAAATAACCCCTTTGGGCTAAAAATAGGGGTTCACAGTCTAACACGAATAACATGCATAAAAATTGAAACAAAAGCAAAGTAACTCAATAAAAATAACATGAAAAAAGTAATACAACAAATAGTTGAAATTTCATTGGTCCTTGTTAAAATAGCAGCCGAAGAATTTTCAACAGAGCCACGTCTCTGAATTATATTTGGATAATTATAAATTCATGAAATGATTGAAAAGTAAATTGCAAATAAAAAAGTAAATTAATTTAAAATAATATGAAGTATAAAAATAAAATTTTATGAAGATGTCTTTTAATAAATCATGAAGCTATAATCTGCTAATTTATAATCTTAATTTTTAAATTCTTATATAAATACTCTTTCTTTTTAGGCAAATTCTATCATTTTTAGCCAGGTGAATGTTGAAAAAACATTGAAAATACTATATAAGTATTACTTATATTTCACATGAAAAAAGCGGAAAAAATTTCATTATTATTTCATTATATTATAGCAAATGATGTACTTTATGTTGTTTTAGGTAACAATAACAACGGAAACAAAAACTAATTATTTTATGTATTTTTTTACGATTTGTGTTGTATTTAAAAACTTACTTGATTTTTAATTTTGATTTGCGAAAGCCTAAGAGAAATTGCATGGAATTGCTAGAGTTCTGTGAAAAACAATTTGTAAACCACTGACTGTATTGTAGTTTTTAAAAAATATTACTGTAACATACCTCTAATTCTTTAAAATTAATTAGATTTACCACCACGAATTAAATTTACTATCTTTAATTAAATTACTACCATTAATTTAATTAGTTAATTACTACCCATTAATTAAATTTATTATCACTTACTACTTACATGCCACTAATTCTTTAAAATTAATTAAATTAACCACTAATTCTTTAAAGTTATTTTTTTGTATTTTTTGTACTGTTAATTTTTTGTATTTAAGGTGAGTGTACAAAACATGCAGAAAAAATACAGAAATAAAAATTATTTTTAATTTTTGTTTATTTTAACAATACTTTTCTGGCTCCAAACATTTAAATATTTTAACTTGGTTTACTTTTTCTTTGTTCCTTTCGTTCTATTTTTTCCCCTGTGGAAATATGGTAATTTCCTTAAATTAAAATCAATAAGAATACTGTATTAGATTTACCACAAGAGTCTGAGCCCGAAATATTCTCTTCGCTAGACACGAATTGATACTGCTATCAAAATGTAAACAAATGGGTTGGAGGTGTACTCTCGTGTCAAAGTTAAGGCTTCCTAAGCGTAGAGAAAATGATCTCACCGGAAGCTATACCCAACCCGAGGATATATGCGCGTGTTGCGGTACAGAATGTTTATATGCGTCCCGGCGTGGGCATTGCACATTTTTCAAATCTCCTGCTTCAAAAAATCCTAATGACTCTACACATCTATCATGTTTATTTGCTGTTCAGAAGAGTTAGCAGTATCATAAAGGAACTCATTTTGTATTGTTTCCTATTGTGCTGTTCGAGAATAATTCAACTTTTTGACAGCTGAGACAAAAACAGTCATAGGGCTTGCGCACTGGGAGCTCAGACGGTTTTTTGAGCTCTGGTTCTTGTTAATCTTATCAAATCGACAGATGTTCATAAAATTGCTTCTTAAGGTTGGTCCCTATCATTTTTATCACCAACCGCGTGATAGATGGATAACTTTCTACTGCGCATAACCATTGTTTACATGTCTTCAGGATCTGGAATGGTTGGCAGGATCGAAATTCCTTCTTCAGTTCTTTCAAGCACAAATCTATTGTGAATGTTATTGATATGGCATTGGTGCTATTTCTTACAGCAGTTCTGAGACTTTCATTTATTCTCATAAACCTATGAATTCTTCAATCAAAGTCTATGTATAAACTTTGAAAGTTTTCCATAATGATGATCGCTCTCTTTCAATGAAAACCCACTTGATCAACTATTTTTCTGTTCCTTTAAATATATTTTTCTAGAATCCATATTACTTATGCAATTCTAAATTAAGTATTTTGGATCGTAAAAGCTGTTTGGGTAAGATTTTGGATAAGGGATGCTATTATTTATGTAAATTTATTGGTATAACATTACCGAGTAACAGAAGTGCGTTCGATGACAAGATGTACTCTTTACGTTGTTTATTAAAATAGACTTATTCAAACGGACATAGCGCGTCGTGTGATACAGGCCGCAGAAAAGACAAACTGAAGTACTGACAAACTGCACAACACACTGACAATGACAAAATTTGTCTAGTCACACCAGATGTCAATTAATCCGTAGGAGGAGGATGTGAAGTGAAGGTCCGCAAAACTGTAAAGATTCCGCTATAATCATTTCTAACTTCAAAGGTTAAAAGACCTGGGTGGCCGAATTCTGTTTGGAATGAAACGATCGCCGCTTTTACTATTCTTGTTATACTTATTACGTGTAGGCACTACACGGAAGGGGAGGGATGCCCCGTGGAGGTCTTTTTAAGGGAAACTGACTCATATCCAAGTTATACATAGAGAAAACCACGAAACCGCCCATGCAGCCAGCCCGCTCCCCGGAGCAAACTACCAGTGTTTTAGCTGCTTTTACCACTCGGCGTTTTTATTCTTCAGGGAGCATTTTTAAGCTAACTATCGATGATTTGCCTGTTTGTTCCCTCAAATTCGGGGCCTAACAGCGGCCGAGCGGTAAAGTCGCTAAGTACTGGTAGTTAGGTCCGAGGTTGGAATCCCGTGGATGGGCTGGCTGTATGGGAATTTTCGTGGTTTTCCCCATGCGCAGCATGTATACGGGGCAGTTTCCCTTAGAAAGTCCTCGTTTAAGGCAGATAGCCCTCAAAGTTTTACCGCAATCACATAAACCAGTCTCCAAATACGGAAAGTACGCCAGAGCTTATACGTCTAAGGAAAGAGATGCCTTTGCGGAGGACTTTCAGCGGATATTAACTTTTATTAAAATTACATTAAGTCACTGAGAATGAAACAACTTTCGATTTTTTAGTCTCATTCGGTTCATAATTAATTCTGAACATAGAGTTCCTTGACTATATGAACACTTTATGTAAACAAAATAAATGAATAAAATTATAAATGGTGCAAAATCCAACTGGAGCATATCAGGAGTAAAACAAAATTAAAATCGCAGCAAATTGAATGAAACGAAAGTCGCATGAATAGAAATATTTTACAAAGTCCCTGACTTTCCCTGCAGACGGCGCTGAACTACGCAAACACGTGCAAGTGTTTTCGAAGGGTAAATGTACGAGAGTGGATTTAACCTCAAATTTCGCTTTCCACCCATTTCATCTGAGGTAATTTAATTCGAAACTTCGAGATATATTTCTAAATCCATTTACCGGTTCAAATGCTTAGGGAAACAGTTAACATAAAATATTCATAAAATCATGCATAATGTGAATCTATCTATCATTCAGTTACTTGAAAGAGATCTTGGTTAATTGAGAACTCTCGCTTCACCGGCAGCTGTCGACGCAAATATATGGAGATTTTATGGATTTCTTACTGAGCTTTATCAGATTCTCCTTCCTCCTTTGCAATTTCTTTACTGCATTGATCAAGTAACGTCAAACATGTAACACACCTGGAAACAAAGTCTAATGAAATATTTCATTAAATTATGAAATTAAATTATTATTTTTCTTAATTATGAAAACTGTTTTAATAAAATATTATTACAATTCTAAAATGCGGCAAAACGCTTCATGATCCTTATAATATGATCCTCGTTTTCGAACACCAGTTTACAAATAAAAGAATTTTAGTGTAAACATTTGCAACAGACGTGCTAGATTTAAAATGAAACTCTGGAAATTCAGGATTTACGTCCATTTTAAAACTAGTGAAGAAATTTAAAGAATGATACAACTCTCCGAAAACAAAAACAATTATCATTACAGATTGCATGGTCGCACTTTAAGAGCTTAGGCCGTAAAAACATGCTTTTCTACATACATGCCACATACTCCTGCTTACTAATGACGGCATGTTAACTATGAAATTAACAAATCACCTGCGAGTACGAATCAGCTACCAATTATCTATGAAGATTTTCATGGACTTACATATCTCAGATCTATATCATGATTATTCTAAACTTATTTTTAATGATTAGAATCATGGGCTTATGAAACATGGACTTTTATGCTATTCAATTATATATGTTGATATACACTTCGAAAAAAGTGTCACATCTCTCG